AAATAAAGTTAATTAAAAATTGCTCAGCAAGAAAGCACCAAAAAGCAAAGCAAAAAAAAGAGCCCAAACAACACACCAATGACAAGCGAAATGCGAACAGGAACAACCACAAGCTCAGGAGCAGCATCGAGCACCTTGAAAATGCAAATGTAATTAAATAAACACGACACCCGACGGGCGCCCATCAGTGGCGAACTGGGCGGATCAACCGCGGATAGAAAGTGGGGGTTTCAAAATTGTGGCACTTAAAAAAAAGTTGTAATAAGCACCTAAAAAGATAACTTCTTGGAAGAGTTCAGTCATCAAAGTCTATATTTAGTTGACTTAATATTTTCTTATTTTAAACTTTCATAAAAATCCTAGCTTTTATCTATTTTTTACAGTGCCTGCCACAGCCAGCTGCAAGTTGGGTACATTTATCAATTTCAGGACGGCGAGGGGTAGGGAAGACAGTCGGCCACCCAAATGAAGAAGATGAATTCGATGTCTCAACGAGGAGGAATGCTTTTCTTTTTTGGCTCTTTAAACAAGAGACAAGGAAAAGGAATAAAGAAAAGATAAATACAAAGTTAACTCAAATATAATTATAATTAAGGTGGTCTTTTTAACGAAATTCGGGTTAAAAAAATATGAGAAAGGGTCTTACTCTTAAAATCCAGATCTTTACTATTTTAAGTTCCAAATTTAAATCGATGGAAAATCAATAAAATATTTTATATTTATTCAAGCCTTTTTTGAAACTTCATTAAAATTTTCCTCTATTTTATATCCCCCGATAGGGGAATAATAATAATCATACAATTTCTTGGTTGAGAATGAATGAATGTGAATGCCTCTGGCGTACTTGGCGGTTAAATTGATGAACATTTCTCTCTCGTCTCGACAAGTGCAATTGTTCAGGCGCGAAACGAACCGCAACCACTTCATTAGCAAAGTACCCCCACCAATCCACTCAAGCACCACCCACACAGCCTCCCAGCCAACCCTGTCCAAGATTTCTAGTATTTCAGAGACGTAGAAGAAGGGGTATTTAGAAAAATGTATAATTTCTAATTCTTAAATCATAGAAAAACCATATAGACTACGGTACTGATATTTCCGCAGCTGCTCATCGAAAAGATTGAAGAAAAGAATCGTGTCGACAGGTAAAAGAATTTGATTTGTCTCCCGGCATAAATTGTAGTTCTTCCTATCCATTATATCTTTGGTCAAGCGTATGGCTAAATGAAAGGCGGCAAGTCTGTTGACACTGTTAATTAATGAGAGATTAACTTGTTCATTGTTTCGCACTCGCATTCGCATTGCCAGTTGTCAGGAGGCCCCATTCACGTGCGAACTCATAAATCACGCATACGCCCGGTTGAACGACCTCGCCATTAGCAATTAGCATTGCGGGCCGCAAGGGCGTCCTGTCAATGTGTCAGCCTTTCGAGAGTCGAGCGGACTTTCTTTCTTCCGTTTCCGTTTCCGCCAGCCAGGAGGATTGCGTGCCAAATGATGTGCCACCTGGCAATCAAATCCCCAAAGTAGAAAACCGAAGCCACCATAGCCACACATAAGCCATGCCAAAAATGTTCAGAGAAATATGTATATGTTCTTATTGGTCAGAGGGATTTTCAGTTGGAAAAAGTTTTCGACCAAGTCATATATACATATGTCATTTACCATTAGAATCACTATATGATTTTCTATATTCTATTTTATAGAAAGCCAATCGCAATCGTAGTAAATATCGTAAATATACGGTATATGCTACTTCAACTTCATCTTATGCTTCTTAGCAGTTTCCTTTTTTAATATTTTATTTAATAAATTAAAGGTTTGAGAAGAAGGATCTAAATAACCTTATTTTTATGTAACATAATCCTAATCATGTTTTTTTCCATATTTTTTTTCGCAGTACCCAGAACATGCCTCCTGGCAATTGGCCAGCTGAGCGAAGCCATCACTCCGAACCTGAAGCTTGGCCCAATTCAATTAGATGCCAAATGCAATTAGCTAAATGGCTTCTCGATGTTGTGATAAGGACCCTGCGCCACTGCCACTGTCACTACCATTTTCATGGCCGCCGGGCAGTGGAAGCCACTGTGAGTTGTTATTAAAAGTTTTGCCACCGTCGGGGCTAAAAGTTCAACACCAGGCAACGCAACAACTGACAGGGCAACTGTGAATGTAAACTGTGCGAACGGGTTTTAGCCAACTTCTGACAACGTTTTAGACAAGGTTGTGCTTTAAGTGTTTGGTCTAAAGTTTTACAAAAATATGGTTAGATTTTAAGGCACATAACATAACATACATATACAAGTAGAAACAGATTCTTTAAATACCCGCATCGTACTAATTTTTATTATCCACATAAATCGAATCAATTAAAAATTCAACATCAATTAGTTTAATATAAAAAGCAATTCATCCATTGCATTAATTATGTGGTTGGCTTATGGCGGAAATCAATCAATAATGCTAAAGTCCTTCGAGGACTAAATGTTCGAGAACGATCATTAATTAAATACGAATTTCCGTTCTGCGGTCATTCGAAATAAAACGAAAAATAAATAAATACCGATGGATGTTGTTGTCATTTATCTGTTCCTTCAACGAATTTGATTTTTATTCCTTTGTTGACTTGTTTACGCTCGCTGGGCAAACAGTTTATGATTTGGCGGCAATTTATACAAAATGCCGTCATTAAATATGGCGCCTATTTGCTTATGGGAGGGTACATAGTACACCGCCCACAACATACAAGACCAACAACCATCCCACAGCCCAACATAAATACAAACACAGGCAGACATACAGAAGTCTGGAAATCCTTGGTGTACGGGGCGGATGTGTAATGTGCTTTTCATACTTTTGTTATTGGAATTTTTCGGCTTTTGATGCTATTTTGTTGGCTTTCCATCCATCAAAATTGAATAGAGGCATAAAATATGCTAGAAAAAGTGTGTGTATAAGTGAGATTTAATGTTTTATAAATATTTTATGTGGCTTAACGTTTAATATTCGTAGGTATGCAGTATGTATTTAAGTATTTTGTAGTATTTTCATGCCAGGTCCTTTGAATATTAAACAAGGACTTGCGTCGCTGATCATTGAACTGTAATAATTCGATTGCGAAGCGCGACTTTTCCGCCAGTAAACTAAAATCTGGCTGGTTAACTCAGGACACTCCTGCACAGGAAAAGGCTTGGAGTGCTTGTGATTGTGGCTGCGGAGGATATTCGAGCCAGGTAAGCCATCTACCTGGGCGCCTGCAGCAACCGGCAGCTTAATTTGCGGCAGTGGCAGCCCTTTGCCTTTGTTGATTGCAACCGGGGAGCGATGGTGATGGGGAGAAAAGAAAATGACGTGCCATGAAATTGATTGCAAAGTTTCGTCGAGGCTCCTGACTGTAGACTCAGGTGGTGGTGGGTGGCATCAAAGGTCACCGGGCATAGCCTGGCATAGGCAAAGTGAAAAACCGTCTAACCTTCCACCTCCTGACTTGCACCTCCAGACCCTCCATAACCCAGCCAATAGTAAAGTAGTAAAGGGGAAGAAGTGCCAGGTTTATGCTTTCCAGCGCTGTCGATCGCATATTAAATGAGTTTACGAACAGGCAGCTGAAAAAGCCCCCTAAGCACGCTTTAAAATACCTCAGCTGCACGTCAATTAAAGTGTTTTACGACCAAGTTTATTCGAGATATGTTCAAAGGCCAAGTTAAGGGTTAACACTCGTGGCCATAGTCGAAAACTTAATGGCTTTGGTATATAATCATGAACTTTTATTTAACGAGCAAGAACACCTAAAGATCTTAAACTAATACAATTAAATTTTAAACGATTAGCAAGATTTAAATGAAATTCATGTGGAGCCTCAGCTGGATTAAATTATAAACTTTTGAATAAAATATTTCAGAAGAATATATTGAAAACAAGCTTTTACGTTTTAAAAAACCATCTCGCCGTTCACTTTCTGTTGAAAAAAAGAGTAAGGGGAACTGAAGACTTATATTTTATCATTAATTTTATCCTTTACTGCAAAAAGTCTAGAACCTGAATGGAACAGAACTAAGTCTAACTTTTTTCATAAAAACTTTAACTTTTTAAACAACTGTACATTTAATAAATAATAAACATGGTTTGAAAATCTACACAAACTTTTGTTTTTATCAAAACCGGGTTTTTAATTTAAATTCCATTTGAATTTAATTAAATCAAAAGTTTATTCGTAAACATTTTTTTTACGTTTTGAATTTTGTATAGAAAGGAAATCAGAGGACGTCCGAGGGCAGGACTCTTTTTAGGTTGGACCCTGTCAAATTTTGTGTAAAAAGGGTCCTTTTTGCTGTGTGACGTCAAAGGATGTTGAAATAGCTGCTTATTTTGTAGGGGCAGGAAACAGGCTGGCACAAAAAGTGTGTCCCACAAAAAGTTTCAATTAGTTGAGTGCAGTGGCAGTGTTTTGAAATGATGACGAGGGCAGAAGGATACACGGTTTTTGGGCATTCGGAAGCAGGACAAACCCGTAAGGAATACGGGTAAGGACAAGACAACTAGCCCGGGCATTTCAATTACAATGTTATGTTCGAAAATTCCTTTCACAACTCCGACTGCGACTCGGACTCCCAAACGTGGCACACTCCCGGTAGATATCCAGCACAGTTTTTCCGGAACACTCGCAGCACTGTTGTGAGATACATGAGGACAGTAATAGCCCAGTGGTAGGTCCACATTACAGTCGTTGGAAATGGCCTTTTAGCAGCGCTTAACAATTCTGATTGTACGGCAGAATTATAGTTTACACTTCGAAAAAGGTGTAGTCACTATATATTTTTTGGTGCTATGCTTTTTATAGGGATTGCATCAACTTTACTATAGTTGTTTCAGTGTTGGTATGGCTAAGTATTAAATTTTCCCATTTTTTATTTGTGACAAATCGGATTCAGCTTTCTCCCACACATTCGATTCACATGTTATTTGATTAATTCCAGGACTGGGGGGAACGAATCACTTACCAATATTAACGATGCCATGGTTGGTTAGTTCCCAGCACGACTGCAATCGCAATATGCTGAGGCTGTGGCTCTGTTTTGGTGAAAAATAGCCCAGAGCCGCATCCGTGACATGGTAAGCCTGTTGGGGAAGGAGATTCAATTAGTTTAAGACCGGAAACCGCAGAATTCTTCTTTTTTTTTCCTTGTCCACTTTGTACTTGCCTGCAATGAGAACTCGTAGAGGGAGGGCAGCAGCTGGGCTACCGCCCCCACTGCTTCATCGGCGATATTGATGCAATCCGCCAGCGACAAGGACACGATTCGGGGCGTCAGACACGCCCACAGTCCTGCCTCGGTCACCTCATTGCATCCTGCCAGCTCCAGTTCAAAGAGACTCTGAAAAAAACAGTAAGTAATATGTAGTTAAAATTTTTTTTAATAATTTCATTAAAATTTTGTTCAACTGTAACTTTTTATTATTATAAAGCATCTTCTAGAATATCTTCATTACTGTTCGACTTCTAGGCTCACTTAAAAGTAACCTATGGAGAACTGAGTGTTAACATTTTTAGGAAGTATGGATATGTAAGCAAGGAACCTAAGCATTTATGGTAATGCATACATATATCGGAAATATCGGTTGTAGTCGGCTGACCATTTCTTATAGGAACTTAAGTAGCAGAAACAGACAGACGGATATACATATACTTTAATAGGTCGGAGATATCTTCTTCACCCTTTTTACCAAAATTATAATACCCTCTGCAAGAAGATAAAACCGTGACCAGTATCATCAAGCTTTCTACTCCTTTTGAAAAATCTTCAAAAACTTTTGGTTAGCCTTTGTTTTTTTTCCTTTTAAATTTCAATAATCTGAAATTTGGTATATCTGTCTAAAAGTGTGAAGTGTGTTGTCAGATCGTCAAACGTTTTTATGATCTGCCCCACCGATGATATTCTAAAATACTTTTGGACATTTCACAGCCTTCATAAATGTTGACACTTGGCGACCAGAAAACGAAAGCAAGAGAAAAATATTTCAACAAAAATATCTCAATATGTACATATGGTATTGTGTATATATAATTTTACAAAATATATATCACACGAGTAGATATATATTATAAATAAATATAAAATCTCAGGTAAGTAAGTATATAAAGTGAATGTGAAATGTCTGCCGAGGGAACATTTTAATATTCAGTTAATTATTTTAAAATTACTTAAAGACCATGAAGATTGCAAGGAAATTAAGTGCGACGTCGAGTTTAAATTCCTAATATTTTATGATACATATCTTGGTCCCATCAACACCCAATAAATTAAATAAAATTTCTCTAGCCTCAGCTTAAGGAGCATAGATTTATGAGTCAAGCCTTCCCATAAACTTTTATCCTACGTGTTATTGTGTAAGCAGTTCGAGTGCCATAACTCGGTAAACTTTGACCTTTTCAAGTGCAAAACATGGCGAGAAAATCACATTGGATTCCCATTCGAGTTGCAGACTTTGCGTCGAATAATCCCACCAGTGTCCTCATAACGTCCCCCGGAACCGGAAATAAAACCAAACAAAACAAAAACGATAAAGAACAAATGCAGCCGGAAGCGTGATATAAAAATGAAAATCATCGGATGGTCACATAAACACAAAACACATTTTCTCAGCGAAGAATTAAATCCACTCGGCAGGATAAACAACAATTATTTTTATTGGAAAGGCAAAGGGATTCGAGAAATAATAAAACGTAAACAGCTTAACTCGCGGCAAGATACGAATTAAATCCGTATCTTTTACAGAAGACCCCCCAGAGTTTGTGTAATAAAGGATTTTCAAGGCTGTTCGCCCAAAGGTATTATTAAATTTAAAGCCATTTAAGATCGACTACTATTTACATTATTAAGGTTGAATAAATTAAAAGCCAAGTCCCAACTCATTAGCGTATAAAACGGTCTAATTAAGGATATGTTGAATATACATGGCCAGTAATTGGATTCTGTACATTGGTTAACTTTTCCAACAATCAGAAAAAAAAGAGAAAATACAAGCCTTTGGCATGACTTCATTATGAATTGTAAATGCTTGGCTGTTGTTTTGGATTTTGCCTTGGTACTTATATATGTGTTTTTGTTTTTATGGACAATTGTGAAACTTTTTTTTGCCCCACACCACTGGCTATGGCAGCCAAGGGAAACTTTTTACTGCCACCATGTGTCAGGACGAAGTCAAAATCGATGGGGAAAAGTCACCGAGCCACGCCAACAAGAATCCCAACAATAAAATGCTAATGGAGGCAAAAAACACATCCACGAATGTGTAACTATTTGGCTGGATAAAGTTTTCCTCGGCTTCTGAGGTTTCTCCTCAAGTATGGCACTTTTTGTTTAGTTTTGCGTACGTTGAGGGACTAAACTTTAATTGGAAAGGACCATCAATCAATATTTCCTAAACAGTAAACACTACTTATATTTCCATAACAAATTAAATACAGTTCCTTGCTTCACTTTAATAAATTGACCAATTTAATGCCGCAATTGCAGTTTCCATTTAATCCGCATTATATACGACCGGAGGTGCAAGAGCGTAGCATAATTTTATGGGTCAGCGGTATCGAGTTCAACGTGCTCCGGGGCCCAAAGTCTGGAGTGGCAACTTCGGAATTGCAATGCGGAAATTGCATATAAAGTAAGCCCAAAGCGACTGCAGCACACTCTTGGCATTAAATATGTATGGGAATGCAGGAAAGTCGCCGCATTTCCGTCGCATTTAGTAACTAGCATTAATTTAGCTTTGCATGTTGGTTAGTTTTTTTTCATTTCCGTATTTTACATGGGGAAATGGGATTGGAAAATTCACACATGCATGGTCCCCAAGGTCGAATTCCTAAGCCCGTTGCGGTTGATCCTTTCGCATCATTGCTGGGCTCCGTTTGTCCCCGGTGTGTCATTGCTGTTGACATTGTCAGCGACAACAATTTGCAATCAAACCGTTGGTTGGGCCCTTCGTCCTCTCAGGCCCTAAGTTTCAGGCCCTGGCCGTGGAACCTGGCTCATAAACATGACATGCATTCACACTGGATTAATTCTGACATCAGCAGTCCTGTGTGACGTTCTTCCACTGGGGTGGAATTGTTTTGGCCATTAAAGTTAGCCATAAGGTGAGTAATAAACGCAGTCACAAATATTACTCATACGCAACGTTGGCGCGTTTAGGTATTTAAACATTTTAGTTAGAAAATCTGGTATAAACCGGATTACGTTCTTAATTTTATAGTTTTTAGTCTGATACGCGCTGTGGCTTTGCGTCTTTCCTAAAGTTCACCCTAGAAACTCAAATATATATCCTCACAGAAGGACACTGGCTTCACAGAGCAGAGGAAGAACAGAGTAGCTGGCAGTCAACTCATTGAATGTGTGATGGACTGAGCTGACAGGACCACAAAATCATGGAAAACGCTTCTGCCAACTTGGCCACAGCCAGTTCACCAAAACATTATCCACTTTACGGACTCGGGACTAGGGACTAGGGAGTCGAGAGTATACACTGTATATACATATATGCCACTAACTGTGTGTGTGTTTGCTTCGTTTCCGGTGCCCCATGCTGGGTCCCTGGTGGATTAGGCTTCCAGATTGCTTGGGATTGGTCCATGAAATGAATGGATTAGTTTGCCCAGGGCCCTCACCACAGTTGGCCATCAATTAAGGTCTCCACTTGTTCGTCGAAATTCGATTGGGGTTGCTGGGGATTATTGGGGCAGTCCAACAAAAAAATAAATATGAAATTACAGGGATGTCTGTCAGGAGACAAATGGGAAACCCATAGATAAAATTATGGATTGCTGTGGCCATAATGAAGGTAATTTTCAGGACCTTGGCTCTGCTGATTTTCTAGACATCTGCGTGGAGAGGAGAGGAAATTTATCGCGCCACTACTGTTTCCTGCTTCCATTAGTTTGGGAATATATTTTCAGCCAACAAAAGCAATTCATACTCCTCTAAACAAAAGCTAATTGCCCGAAACTCTAGCCCACCTCATGAAAGATTCACCTGGCAGAGCGTAGAAATTATGAATGCTGAATGCGAGTGATTTGAACACACATTTGTGAGCGCTCAAATTAGCTCACACAAATATTAGGCTAAATTAAATGAAATTTATGAAGGCTTTGATGTGATTTGCATCTGAAATTGATCGCATCAATTCATTATGCCGCCAGACAAGTTCGAGAGGGTGCAAATTCGGGCACTCGCCGTCCATCCGATGACACACTTTTCAGCTCTGACACGTTTCATTTCTCTGGCGCGCGGCACAGGTCCCGAAATAAAATGAAAATAGTTTGCGTTAACCAGCGCATAGATTTGTGTGCGAATTTTTTTTGGTTGTGTTGCCCCGAAAGGGGGACTGACCACTGCACTATGGGGTTTTTGACCACTTTATGTGGCATTTAATCATTTTTTGAAAGTTCTCTGATTTAAAAAAAATTAATCGGAATGTATTAAGAAAACATCAAACTATTATGCCTCATACTCAAAATATTGATTATTAGCACCATATGCTAGCATAACAGCTGCAAAGTCAGCTGTTGCATTCGAAAGCACGTGCGCTAAGTTTGCAATTTTCACATAGTGATTTGAGAAATTAGATTATTTGTTTAAAACTCCATTTAAAAATAAAAATAGTAATAGACACTGATTTCACAGGCTTGTACTACATGTTAAATGTATTAACTGTTTAAATTGTGCGTGTCTATACTAAAATTTTGTCATTTTATAGATGCACCTTAAGCTGAATTTTGGGAAACAAATTTCAACTTTAGGAAGAGTTTTGAAATAGAAGGAATAAAAAGTTTTCAATGCGTCCAAGTGTATGTTGTAGCCTTGTCAATACTGAGCAAAGACTGTTAGTCTTATTGTGCACTTTTCTCCACTATTGGTGCAATTTGAATTTTTCTTAGATAACCTCACTTTCTCCAAAAGCCGACTTGGTCGCTGCTTGGAACAGCGAAAGGGGCCGGGTTGAGCATCAAATGGCTGCATTTTTTTTAACGCCATGCAAGTAACAATGTGGATAATGCCGTTTTGAAAAAAAGCCACCAGTTTTTAATGGAAGTAATGGAAAATACGGTGCTTCCAGTCGGCTATTTTGGAGAAGAAGCGTCTGAGTCCTGAAACAAGCTGTATAAATCAGACAGGCGTCTTTTAAGAAAACACTACCGATTACATTCCATCGCTGATGTGTTCAACAGAGCTATGGATACATAAGATCCAATTATTTCGTCCTTAATTTATCGAGATGCATAAAAAACTAAAGAGTCTTTTACTTCCAATTGAGGTATTTCGTATTGACGAATACGAAAATAATGTTTGTCTCGAAGATGACGAATTTAACGATTCCAGCTTTTTTTTTTAGATAATATTGATATATTATAGAAAATGAAAAAAAAAGAATAATAAGATTAATACTACTGTATGAAGGAATTTTTCTTTTTCAACTTTTATATGCATTTGTATGGAAGAACACTGAAATCCGGTATTTTAAACTGACAGTTCCCAGGGAAAGCGTTGTCCGATTTGGTTTAAAATTACTATATCGTATTAAAATAGCAACAAATATCAGCTCCTTAAATTTCATTAATTTATCTTTACTTTTACCAAAACGTTCCTATGGGAGCTATAGGATATAGTTTCCTGATCCGAACGATTTTCATACTATATGTGCCTAGGATCAAATAATAACGATTGGTAAAGTTTCATGTCGATATCTCCAAAACTGACCGAGTTATTAATTAATGCCACAAAAACAGGTCAAAAACCCCATAGTGCACTGTCAACTTGCCACACATACACACCCGCACGCCCACATCCTCTTGAAATGTTTCGGCAAAAATATCTCCAGTCCCTCCACTCCTCCACAGGGGAGGTTCTTCGAAATCCGACAGAACAGACAAAAAAAAACCAAGTCAGACATTAAGCCAAATGAAAGTCGTTTGCATGGGACAGCTGAGTCCCCAGATCCGAACACCCTGGGATGCCCTGGGATGGCCTTTAGGGCCAGATTTCCGGACATTGCCGCCTCGGCCCTGGGGCAAAGTTGTCTTGCATTTTAAACAAACGACATTCCATTATTTGGGCTTACGGGTAGACGAAAACTTTCCTTACACACTCGTATCTCAAGGGCGTAGGGTTGGGTCTTGAGGACCAAGGACTGAGAACGTTGCTTGCCAAAAATTTGTTTTCAGTCTGCTCGGATAAATTTTCGCAAAGATTTATCTTAATGGTTATTTATTCTGGAGATTGACAGCGGCATTTTGCAAAATATTCTCAACAGAAGCTAAGAAACTAAGGCTTTAAAAGAAGTTTAAATATTCATACACTATTACTTGATGTCCTATAAGATTTTATTTATGCAGTTCTAGCTCTAGAGAGCTCTAGATATTAATAGAACTGAAGAATATATTTAAAACTGCATTGTTGCCTGTAGAAAGCTTTTATATATTTTTAGTTAAATATATAAACTCTATAATAGACCACAAACTTTCTGAACTCTATGCATAAAATTTATTGAAACTCACCTGAAGATGATCCAGCAGGGTCTCGAGACCCCGATCGCTGATCGAAGAGCAGCGCAGGCTGAGCGAATGGACGTGCTTGGAGGCGAGCGGGAAGGAGTGGACCACATCCAGGGCATCCTCGTCGGAGGCCCCCACCAGCCCGAGGGCGTGGAAGCCCCGCCGGATGAGCGAGTTGTAGAGCTTGCTGCGATCGCAGCCGGGCATCTGGCGGAGTTCGCGGCACTGGAGGGTCGGCAGCAGGCCGCTCCAGTAGCGTGGACTACGGTACAGTGTGTCCCGCCACTTGACGCACACCTGGGCCAGGACTCGGCGCTCGTACGGCGAGAAGTACTGGAAGAAGCGGCTCAGAAAGCGATCGTCCAGCATCAGGGACTCGATGCTGTGGATGGGCGGCGGGTGGAGCTGGTGCTGCAGGATTAGCGGGGACTGGTTAACGCCCATGCTGCCGTATGGGTGATGCAGGTGAGGATTGGGAAGTTGTTTTCGCAACTGCAGTGGCGTTCCCCCAGTGCCACCCCCGCCGGCGGCAGCCTTTTGCGCCGCCACCATGCCCATTGTGCTGAAAGTGGGTGATCCTGGGCCGACGCCACCGCCCGGTATGGTTATGTTCATCTGCTTGGCAATCGACTTGACCGTGGGAGTGGGCGGCGCTCCCAGGGGCATGCCCGTGGGCGGGGCTGGACCCACCATTACATGGTGGTTGGAGTTGATCAGCGTGGAGGCCTGTAGTTGGTGGTGTTGCTGCTGCAGCTGTTGTTGCTGCTGTTGTTGCTGTTGCTGCTGTTGTTGCAGGAGATGGTGAGTGGAGTTGGGCACCTGCGACTGAGCACTGGACAAGGACATGCCGCCTGGACTAGGACTACTGCCCCGGGAGGGTTTGTCAGGTGTCTGGGGAGGATTCGCATTGCTGGTGGGCGCTGTGGCAGCTGTAGCACCTGCCGACGCAGTGGAATTGGAGGAGCTATTGGAACCCGATCCGGAATTGGAGTTGGAATTGTTGCCACCGCCGCACAGGGCGTTCGTCACCCGCTCCATCACCGACGTCTTGCCACTGGGCGCAGGAGCAGCGGCGGTGGTTCCAGTGGTGGAGGCCGCGTCGCCAGAGCCACTCCCGCTGTGGTGGTGTTTCGAGCGCAACCCCAGCCCGTTGATGCGCTTGGACAGTTCGGCGGAGGCCCGCTCGACCACGCCCTGCGCCGAGATCGATGACATGGTGTGCTGGAACAGATTCACCTTGCCCAGGTGGAGAAGCCTTCGGGAAAAGCTTTCTTCTACTCGTCTCTCCCTCTAATTTTGACGTAATGTTTGGAGGTTTTTTGGTGGCTTTTCACTTATCCTTTACATTCCGTGTTGCTCTAATCATTGTCGGTCTTTTTTTAATTGCTAATTAGCGAGGTTTAACTGTAAGGATAAGAAATGTAAGAAAGAGGTTAGTTATTGGAGTAATTGGAGGTAATAGAAGTTCATTATACAAATAAAACTAAACAACCTAGGGTCGTAAAGCAAATTTCTAGGAATAAGGAACCTATGAGGTTCCTTACCATCAATATTACAAAAAATGGATACTAGAAAGTTCTAAAAGTTTTCCCTTTTAAACCGAAATGGTCTTCTTTTTTTTTTAACAAAAAGCCATCAAAAAGCACTCTACTTCTTTTATAAGGACAACTGCAATTACATGATTTGTGGGAAATTTCCGAGCGTAGTTTTTGCCGAGTTTGTCACTTCATGTCAACGATTTCTTTGGGTCCTGCCCCATTTTCAAAAACTTGCAACATTCGCGTGGCTCGTCATATAAACAGAAAAAAACACAAAAAACCAAAAATGCCAAAAAACGAACAGATTTATGGCACACTTTCGTAAAACTGGCGTGCCGGCCATAACCTCCGACCTCGATTTTATTTCCTTCTGCGACTTGTTGTGGTTGCAAAAAGTTCACCGATAAGCCAAAACAATGTATGTTCTAGCTGAAAAATGCGACCAAACTAAGCCAAGGTAGTGCGCCGCCAACCAGTGCATTGGCTTTTTGGTTTGCAATTCAAGTCCGGAAGTTGTAAGTCCTGCAAAAGTTGGGTGGAGCCAGTGGTCCTTGGGGTTCTTGTTACTCAAAGACTACCAATTGGATAACTGCAGTTTAGGCTGCTGTATATTTACTTTTTAAGGCGAATAAGTTATCTCAAGGATAAACTAAACCCCTTTATCCTTAGGCACATGATAAGAAACCTAAAAGCTCAATTAAATAAGTAATTGGTCAATTGTGGAAGGTCAGAATTCAATTGCCATAAATACGCGGATGCGTCAGAGCTTATTTGTGAAGGAAACGGACTTGGATCTCAAGGTAAGCCTTTGGAGGCTGTTATCTTTGCTCCGCCCGGCTGCATAGCATCCTTCGGCCTTATCCTTGCCGCTGACTGAGCAGGCTGAGTGCCTCAATCTCAGGCTTAAATATCGCATTCTTCGCTGTCTTTCGCCGGGGGCCTTCCGCTTGGACGTGCGCCCAAACAATAGGGGCGCCCAGGGACCCCTAGAGGGCGTGGTAGATTGTCTCCGACCAGGCTTTGTCTGTCATTTCCGCTTGGTACAAAAGGGGAATGTTACTATCCATATATAAATGGTCCATCTAGATATAGATAGATATCCATTCAATTTATCAACTTTAAAGGAAACATTACTCTTTGGAAAAGGTTTAATAACTTTTAATCGAAAAAATATTTATATTATTGTTTAAATTATCAGATTCCCTATAGAGTATGCCACCAATCGACTTGTGGCAAGTCAGAGACTCCTTTCCGCTGCCTTTTATTGTCGAGATTTGATTGTGCGACAAATGCAAATACAAATTTTGTGCACGACATGGCCGAATGTTGGCATTATCCTGCCAGATTTCCACAGACCTTGCCGTCTGCCTTCCAAAAGTTACACAATCCCAATTGACTTTACCGAAAGTGGGCAGGTCCTGGTGGATTCTCAATTGGATTACTTGAAGTGGAAGCGAGTGTCTCGATGGTTGAGTGAAAATTGGCTTGATAATTTCATAAATCACAGTGTCTGCTAAGGGTAACCTTTAATTTTTCTAATTTACAATATGGTTCAAATAGCTAATTATTTAAAGATATATAGTATTGCACAACTTAAAACTATCTAGCAACTCTAAGATAGTTAGACCCAATGTTTCACAAATTTGCAGAGCTTTCAAGAGCAATTAAGTTTGGCAAGCAAAGTGCAGCAACATTTTTGCTCTTTCCTAAAATGTTTAATTAAAAGCTAAGTAATTTGATTAATATTCCGGAAAGTGCATTTCACCCCACCTCGTGCAACACCCTCCTGGGGCATGCAACTACAATTTTGGCAAAACTTTAGTTTGGCGAGCTACAGAGAGAGAAAAGTTAGGCACTACTTAACTATAAGAGGATTTAAAATAATAATACAGACTCCTAAGTACATTTTATAAATATTTCATTAGGTTTTTTAATTTTTTCATTTTTTAAAATAGTTAACAAGCATTTTTGTTTTTTTTCTAAACCAAAATATGTAGCATACTGGGAGGCGCAGCTGGCTGTAAATATGGGTCTTTTTATGAGAGAGTGTGCGTGGTTTGAGGGTTGGATTTTGTGGGTGGTTGGGTGGTTGCCTCGGCTGCTTAGTTTGAGTGGTTGGTGGAGCATGGAGCGTGTCTGCCTGCTAGTGTACTTCGCTTTTGTTCGCCCTCCGCTTTATGCGCATTTTCCGCAGCTTGGCTCCGTGTCTATTTTTGGAGTTGGTTTGAGTTCGAGTTCGGGTTCGCGTGCTTATTGGATTTTCCCAGCCAACACACCCCCTCCCCCCAAACACCCTAACTCTGTACGGGCTCTGTGTCAGGGCCTGTTCCACATTCCACTCCGCCCAGGAGCCCTGCAGCCCGGGTACACAGGTCCGGGTCCGGGGTCTCAGTCCCGGGTTCAAGCCCAAGTCCGTGTATTCGTGTAACAGTATCGATTTTCGTCCCGTTGTTTTCATGCCCGTTTAGCACTCCGCTCTTGATTCTCCGTCCATTCAAAACAAAACAAAAATCGGAGACGGAGACGAATACGGAGACTCACATGAAAATAGTAACCATCCCGGATAGCGAATGTCAATATTTTTCCTCTGTTTCCCGCCCAAGTTCACGTCTCTCTGTTGTTTTCCATCATCAGCTGGAAGGGAAAATGTGTAACACCTCACCGGGATGGCCAACAGAATGTGGCTAACAAAACACGAGTGCTGCAATAATGTTGCATAGTGCTCATGGGGGGATGAAAGTTTCCCCGGAATAATTATCAGAACAGTTAGTGACCCTTGGGGGGTTCCATTAAAGTGAAATTAAATCATCATTAAACTGTTTTCATCTCACAAAAGATGTGTAATTGCAACACAAATGTCACCTTGAACTTGAGGTATAGAAATCGTTTTTTTTTTCCTTCTACTCAATTATGATTTTTATATAAATAAAAGACACTCAAAGTCTGTCGTCTTTAGATTAAGCCTAACAGGTTGTTAAAACTTATAGAGCTTGATGAAACATTGAAAAGGATTTCATAAGCTTAAATATGGATTCTAAAAATCTAGTATTTCTGAAGTTCTTAGCTTATAGACCTAAAAAAACTAGATACCTTAAGGCTTATAGAAAGCTTAAGTTCTATTACCGTAAAGCAAAAATCTAAAATGTATCACTCCTCTTTCGAAATATAAACTAATTATCTCAATCAAGGCTGACCCATATGGTAAATGCATTATTTCCAATGGCTCGAATGATTATCCCTTTATCCAGCAATATCTACCATATGCAATGGAACCCCATAGAATGTCCAGGTCATTCCCAAACCCAGTCACGAATCCCATCTTGAATCCTTGCCGTACGTCAGTGCTCGTTTCTGGGTCACTATGCAACTTTGACCTGATTTGTGGAGTAGGCCGTCCCCTATTGCATATATACACACATTCGCACTATATATAGTACCACCACAAGTACATATTTAACGACAATATTAAACAGTTTTCATAGTGCTGGAGGGGTTATGCAAAGTAGTCCGTAAAGAAATCCGCAAATCAATGAGCCCAATTAAGCTCCAGCGAGAGGACGCGCCAGGATGTCTAAGACCATTATTGTGATTATGTCCATGTCGCTAGTTGGGGGGTGGTATGACATCACAGACAACAACTGGACCCAGACCCCGTCCACCCCCTGGGGGCGGTTAGCGACCGGCTCTCTACATTCGGGGGTGAGCCGTTGAGTTTTCAAATTAGAGGGTGAAACAAGCTAACATTAAATCACGTGCAACCATCGGAAAAACCCAATATTTTCAGTCGCTTTTTTTGTTTTTAATTTTTTAATTTAGTTATGAAAAAAATAGGAGATAAATCCTCCTAAAAACGAACCTTTTTTTCTACTTGTTTCTTTATATAATGCTTGAACTCTGTGTCTAGCACAATAAAAATCAATTTGGCAAAAGTTGCGGCGCCGCGTTCTACCAATTTCTCTTTGTGTTTCTCGTGGCTATCCCCCGCAGTGGGAAAAACAAACGCACGGAAAACACAGAACCGCCGAAAGAAAACACACGCGAACGGAAAACCAAAGCCGCAAAAGGAAACTGCTGCCCCGTCTTGCAGCAGCTCGAGAAGCTCGACAAAATTGCAGTATAAACGTTCCGCCAACTGAACAAAACAAAAACGCTGTGCGCTGCCTGGCAGCCCGTCGCTTTTGTCGCCTGTAATTGTTTTTGTGGCCGCCGTGGAAAATGGTCGAGCGGAAAAGCGAGAAAACCGAGCGTTAGCGGGCACGACTCAAAATTCAAACTGCAAGCGGATGCCAGCCAGCGAAAGTGGGAAAGCCTGTTTTCCTCGAAAGCATTTGCAGAACGCCGAGAAAGTTTCCGAGTGAGGGTGAGAGAGCCTGCGCATTGCTATACACTCTTTCACTATCCCTCTCGCGAGTGAAAGCTTTTCCCCCATGGACGTGGTTCTCGGGGGGATTGCTGCTTTGTTTTATGGAGTAGCGTCCCACTATTTCGCGCTACAGCCGTGACCATTCTGGATTTCTCTCCCGGATCCTGCGCAATGTGGTTTTCTGCAAGGTAAACAAGCTCAGGTGAAAACCCACCCAGCCTAGAGTGGAGTTTCCCAAAGCGTCTCTTCTTCTGATCGCCCGTGGGTGTTCACGTGCGGCAGAAAGCACTGAAAAATATATATTTTTTTTTACATTTTTTAGGAATATAAATACATTTTTAGGAATATAAATATATCTATTTTTCTACTTTTATAAAGTAAGAAATAGAAAGTCTCTAACTTGCAGAAACTTTGATTGGACATTAGTTTTATAAACTTCTTAAAATAAATACCCTTAGACTTGAATAAAATGGTAAATATTTTTTGCTTATTTTATAAAATAACTAAAATCTTTAGTAAAATTTCTATTTACCAAAAGTCTTTGCATTTAATTTGAATTAATATTTGCTTTTCAGCTTTATTGAGGGCTTTGCATATGAGCACTTTGAGCGGTGTTTGCTTTGAAATGGCTTTGAACGCACAAATAAGTGAAAATAATCCAACAAGTCGTTGTCTCTGGCCGCCGTTTTCTTTGTTTATCCGGGCGAAGTACTTAATATTTCATGCTCCGCTGTCTACGGTCGTCTATTTTTTAATACGAACCACTCCTTACGTTCGAGTGCATTCCGCTGTAATCCCCCAGAACGAGGCTCGCTCCCACAGAGCCACAAAAAGAGACAAAAGCGTAGGGGGACCACCGTACTGGGGTCAGGGATCAGAGGGCATTTGGAGTGCAGACACGACTACTTGTGTGTTTATTTGGCAGCTGACTTCTTTCTCTGTCCCCTATAAAATTAAGAATGCCAAGTTTGTTTAATGAGATAATCGGCTGGTTTTGGGTTACAAATCAAATTATATAAAAGGATAACACAAACACATTGAATAGAAGTTACCCATTAAATGAAGGTGGCTGAAATGCGCGAATGCTATCAATATGTTTTAAGCCAATATTCTAATTTGCAATCATAATATATACAGGATTTCAAATGTGCCGCCATCATAAATATCCCCGAATATGGTGTGGTAACACTGTTTTTAAGAAAATAATTTAAAAACGCGCGCTTTTCAACACTAATGCTCTGTAATATTGTTGCCATCACTAATTTCAATAAAAACATACGCTGTGGCGGCGGAAATTTAGTTTCTCCTAGAAAAGCTGGGAAAACTACTGCAATAGAAAGCTGATAAGCTACAAAAATCCTATGAGTTGATATAGGCTCTACAAAAAATTCGTCTGTGCGAAGGGTTGTTGTGCCCTGCATCATTCACCAGCTCTGGTAAGTCGCGTGGTTATCACCTTGGTTGGTATTGCTAATTCGCCAAATATATCCAGCAGATTAGTTCATGATGTCGTCGACCTCGGCAGCTGCTTCCAACACAGGTCCCTCAAAACCAGAGGTTCGCTACCTAACCGAAGTGCCAAGCAGCCTGAAGCAACTGGCTCGCCTCGTAGTGAGAGGTTTCTACTCCCTGGAAGATGCTCTAATCATAGATATGCTGGTGCGAAATCCCTGTATGAAGGAGGATGACATTGGAGAACTGCTGCGGTTTGAAAAGAAGCAGCTTCGAGCAAGGATCACCACACTGAAAACCGACAAGTTCATCCAGATTCGTCTGAAAATGGAAACAGGGCCCGATGGAAAGGCTCAAAAGGTTAACTACTTTTTTATCAACTACAAGACCTTTGTGAACGTGGTAAAATACAAGTTGGATCTGATGCGTAAGCGCATGGAGACAGAGGAGCGAGACGCCACCAGTCGGGCCAGCTTTAAGTGTTCCATGTGCTCCAAGACGTTTACAGACCTTGAAGCAGATCAGCTTTTCGACATGGCCACGCTGGAGTTTCGATGCACATATTGCGGCAGCTCTGTGGAGGAGGACAGTGCTGCCATGCCCAAGAAGGACTCGCGACTTCTGCTAGCACATTTCAATGAGCAGCTCCAGCCTCTTTACGACCTACTTCAGGAAGTTGAAGGCATTAAGTTAGCGCCTGAAGTGCTTGAACCGGAGCCCGTGGACCTCGATACGATAAGAGGGCTGACGAAGCCTAACTCGATGCGACCGGATAGCATGCAATGGTCGGGAGAGGCCACGAGAAACCAAGGCTTTGCCGTGGAGGAAACTCGGGTGGATGTTACCATAGGCGGCGACGATACGGCGGACTCTGTTGTAGAACGCAAATCCCGTCCGATTTGGATGACGGAGAGCACTGTGATAACCGACGTGGATACCACCGATGGCAGCGGAACACAGGATGTGGCGCAATCCAGCGGATCCGGACATAGAAACCGAAAGGAGAATGAGGACATAATGTCAGTACTGCTGCAGCACGAAAAGCAACCAGGCCAAAAGGAGCCGCACATGAAGGGCATGCGTAATAACACCTCGAACGCCAACTCTAGCGATTCCAGTGATGATGAAAAGGATATCGACAACGCCAAGATTCGTAAGCTCATTACTTTAACTCCAGTTCCAACTTACTATTAATTATCTCTTTTAGCGGACGTCGATTTTGATACGTACATGAATTCAGATTCCGGAGAGGACGACGACGATGTGCCCACTGTACTGGTGGCTGGACGGCCACATCCCCTCGACCAGCTAGACGACAACCTGATAGCCCAGATGACGGCCCAGGAAAAAGAGAATTACATACACGTCTACCAGCAACATTACAGCCACATATACGATTGAGGGAATGCTCCTATTATTGTTCACCTTTCCCCGAAGAACCCCATTTAACAAATAGAATAAATCTAATTGTAAGTTATCCACTAATTTCAAAATACTTGTACAAACGAATTGCATATAAAACGGGAACATATACAAAAGTGTGAATATCTAGATTCTAGATCTTGAGAGAATTCAAATAGTCACGCGGAAAAGCCCACATCGTGAAAAGCACGAGCTTCGCGTGTAGAGCAAACATCCCATCTCTAGCTCCTCCAATCAGCTGTTCATCCTATTAAGCTTATTTTTAAGTTTATTTCTGTTGTACTCGCTTTAATCCGACCGGTCTGGCGCCTCAATATAATAATAGTCGGTGGGCGTACACAGTTCACTAGTTAATTGTTGGTGCGCCTCTTTCGGACAGATAATAAAAATTCGTAAACAAACGACTGGCAGGGAAAAAACAAACAAACATGCTGACACTCAGCTTTTAGTCGGTCGCCGCCAGTCCAGTCGCAATCATTCGGGTTTGTGCTGCTCGCCTTACCGGCCGCTGGTTACGAGTGTGCGGTTATAGCATTGTCTATTATACAAAAAATAATGCAAGATATGTCAATTTAAAAGGCGTTTTGTTCATCTGCCTAGAAGAGAGTGCTACCGACCGACCGGCTGTCGGCAATTCGAGGCGGCAAAGGTGCTGATTCAACAAATTCCAATTGGAAGACGAGAAACGTGATCGCGCCCACAAACACCAATTCAAAAGCATAAACACACGTTTCTCGCCTGTCTGGGCATTTGTGAATGAATCGCCAGGGGCTACAGAACTGTATATAGTATTGATATTCGCGACTATTAGGAAAAATGAAGGCCACCATCGATAAGGAGCTGCTGCCGATGAAGGCGCACTACTTTCTGTTCAATGCCGGTAAGTTGGCGCACCTGCCGAGCACCTGCCCATTTTCCCCGCCCCCCAAAAGAAAGTCATTAATGTAAGTACCGGGCATCGCTTACATCAGCCGATAAGCGCAAAAGCCAAGGTGCCACACGCACGTGCCATCGGGGGTTAAAAAACCATTTGGCCCACATTCTGCCTCACTTGAAATTGCAGTGTTTCGATTTTGGACTCGGTATAGTCCGTTAAACTGAACTCCGGAGTATGGACAAAGAGCAGATAAGAACAGGGGCCTAAATATAATCGAGCTATGTAAATAATACATAGACTAGAGATAAGCTAATACAACCCGTTTTGGGTTATGACTTCCACCGAACGATGCAGCATTTCGTTCTCAATTGTTATGATTACAGCAATTAAATTAAATAAATTATTAAGAATAGATACTCTTCTATGCATTTAACTGAAATCTATATATAGACGAGTGCGAATGCATGAAAAAATCTTTGGGGTCTAATTAATTGACCGATTAATTCTCTTATGAATCGTTCTGTGTTAAGATTTCCATTCAATTAAGCTCTACAATCAATTTAATTACAAGTCTGAGCATCTCATGTCTGTGGCTTTAATTCTTAAAAACTTATCAATAAAAACCCCAATTCAAATGAATTTAAATCACAAAAATTGAAGTTTTTTATAAGAAAAATATGTGACTAAGATTTAGATTTAAAATGAGGCAACAATATAGTCATAAACTTAAGAATTGGTTTAGCTGCTAGCACAGATAAGGTTCTCCTAAAATAGTTTATGAAGCTCCGTGACTAAACAATTCTTGTTTTTGAAAAATGGGCAAACCAGTAAGACAGCTTGTGTCAGAAATGGTCAAAGGTTAAGCCAAACCCCCTCCCCCTTTGACTCCACGCTGAAACTCATCAAAAGCTAAGACGTGCCGACAAGAAAGCCACTTTCAGCAATTAAATGGGCTGTTGCTTAGGTTAGGTTCTTTTCAGGGCTATCTATTCCACATTTGCTTATCGGCGAATGGGAAAACACCCACTCAAATATGGACTATCATGTTCTATCACTGTCTATACACACTAGCGAATGAATCCAATGGATTTCCCAGATAATATTGTTTACATTTGTATGGTTTTCATTTTCCAGGCACTGCTCCAGTCGTACCCTTCATGCCCACCCTCGCCGGCCAGCTGGGATACTCCCCCGCGGTGGTGGGCACCATGTACATGATACTGCCCATCATTGGAATGATGGCGAAGCCCCTCTTTGGCTACCTTGCAGACCGGTGAGCAACTATCTTATCTATAAAGTAGTTTTCCAATATGCCAATTAGATTAGCTTTTATCTTTAATTACATAGTTTTTTAATAATTAATTTTAAATAATTTTTGATTTAAGATTCCATCGCCATCGATCCTTGTTTCTGGGTGGACAAGTCCTCACTGGCATCGCCTTTTTTCTAATCATGTTCGTGCCATCTCTGGAGCAGCCCCTGCCCAAGGTGGAATTCCATTGCCATGCGGGTGTCTCGGAAGTGCGCTTCTGCTCCGATTATGGGGATTGTGTTGAGATGAATCTGGAGAAATACTATGGCAACAGGACACTAAGTTGCGATCTGCATTGCGAGGCCCAGCCCTCCATATGGGACACTGTGTGCCAGGATTGGCTGCAGAACAAGACGGAAAACTGCGCCAGTAACCGCACGAATCCTTTCCTGGACATCGGCACTAGTATTAATATGCAGCACATTGTTGAGATGAGTAGGTGCCTGTACTTCATGATACCCCACGATCGCGGTGAGGTGGGTGGCCAGAATGTGACGATGAATTGCCCGGCTTACCTGAAAACGAACTGCACCATGGACTGTCGGGAGGATTATATCAAGGGTCTGCTGGCCGAGAACGCGGTGATTAATACTCGGACGGCTATGGGAATGCCCCAGTTCTGGTTCTTCTTCGGGATGCTCATATTCAGCTGGATCGGCATGGCAGTGGTTGTCAGTATTGGCGACGCCATCTGCTTCGGCATTCTCGGGGATCGCCATCATCTGTACGGCAAGCAGCGTTTGTGCGGCTCCCTCGGCTGGGGAGTGTTCGCCCTGCTGGCTGGAGTCCTTGTGGACAACATGTCGCGGGGAGAAGTCAACAAGAACTACACGGTTGTGTTCTGGATGGCTCTCATCATTATGGGCTTTGACGTGTTTGCCTCCTCCAAGCTGAAGGTAAACTGATTTATTTCAAGGTAATGAATCCTTGTTAAAGACTTTCATTTGTCTCCACAGCATGTTCAAACTCATTTGTCTTCCAACATCCTGAAAGATGTGGGTCAAATGTTCCTATCGCTGCGCTGTGTAATCTTTTTCCTGTGGTGCGTGGCCATTGGACTGGGCACGGCCCTGATCTGGAACTTCCTCTTCATTTACCTGGAGCAGTTGGACAAGGAGCTGGAGGGATGCGACAGCTCGATGAAAACCCTAGAGGGTCTGGTTATGGGCATTCAGTGCTTCGGAGGAGAACTTCCGTTTTTCTTCCTGTCTGGATGGATTCTTAAGCGGATCGGTCATGTCAATGCCATGAGCCTGGTGCTCTTTGGGTTCGGAGTGCGTTTCATTCTGTACTCGATGCTGCAGAACCCTTGGTATATCCTGCCCATCGAGCTGCTCAATGGAGTGACTTTTGGCATCTTCTACGCCACCATGGCCTCCTATGCGAGCATTGTGGCTCCACCGGGCACAGAGGCCACCATGCAGGTGGGTCAAATGATATTAATGGTAATGTTTAATATTTATTTTATTCTTTATAATCTTTATTAGAGTCTGGTGGGTGCCATTTTTGAGGGCGTTGGCGTGTCCATGGGCAGCTTGATCGGAGGACTGCTCTTCGAGTCCGTTTCCGCTCGCACCACCTTCGAGATCTTTGGGATTGGAGCGTTCATCCTGTTTGTGGTGCACGTGTGCGTGCAAATGTATCTGCAGCGCAATGGCAGCACCGATGAAAACGGTAAGGGTAGGGTCTCTTCGGCCTCCGCTTCCGCTTCCGTCTCAGCCACAGCCCCCACATCCTCGTCCGTGGAGTCAGCCAAGCCAAAAGAAATTGACAATAAAGATGCTGACGGGTTCCGGGATGTTGACTTGAGTTGATGCAGACCAAATTTCCCCAACCCGAAGCTTTTTTTTTTACTTAATTAACAATGAAGTCGTTAGATCCATGCATTTAAAGAAGTATTAAGTATGGAAGTATAGAATCCTCTATACTACAATATATAGACAGGCCTATGTGCTTACCACATTGAATGATTGCCAGAAACATTTAGATATTAGTATCCAACAGATATTAAAAGCGACAGAAACTATCTAGAATATAGGTGCCTCTAAAGTATGACCTCTGATATACAATGGAAATGAATTTAAAAATAATCCACTTTTTTTCCCTGAACCCCATCGAGTTTTGTAATAAATAAACGGAAACGCTGATAATCTAATCTTTCTTGTGTATGATACTGATATTGAATAATATCAGGTGAAATCTCTTGTTCAACGAATAAAAATAGAAACTATGAAATATTCCATTACTGTTTTGTAAATCTAAGTTTAAATTTATAATTTATTTTATTTGTTTCTTGAAATATCTCCAAATTATTGACTAACCGTTCTGAATATTTTTAGGCACTGTCAAGTATTTCGCACCGACAGATGCAATGCACATGCTGAATGATCAGGAATATAGTAGAGTTAGCTAAGCGATGCTTGACCGCATCCACCACCCACACCACCAACAATCAAGTAACCAATCACCAATGAACCAACCAGAGACCACGCTTCTACTCTTCAAACGATCGAGGCTCTTCAACATCTATCCCAACTCGACGCTGCATGACGAACCAAACGTTTTTTCTATACATACATACCTGTATTGTAAATGTGCTTTAATTTAGAAGTAGTCTTTAACTTAGAATCCCACACAAAATCTCACATACACCTCACATACCTTGTGCATTCTTCGTGCATGTTACCTGTTCCTCATTTACCTTTAAATTGAGTTTGCCAACCAAAATGTTTATAGAATCTCAAGTGCAACCGGCTGTTTGCATGCTTTACAAATATTTACAAACAACTTTTACCATGAATTTCAGTTTAAACAAGCCGCGTTGCCTTGATATAATCTTTTTTTTCTTCTTCTCATAATTTTAATGCCATATTTATAGTGCATTTATTGGTAGATATCTGTATTCGATTGGCTTCCTACTGCTGGGTGCATGTATCCTTCGCTGAAACATCTCTTAAGTATTTTACTTAATTATATACAAAATACAATGTAACAATGTTTTCCAACCTATCGCAGGCATACGATACTCAACTCTTAAATAATATTATTGTATTATTACTATATTGTTCAACTATTGTTTGTATTAAGTTGTTAGCTAGTTGTTAACGGGAATCCCAATGTAAATGCAGTCCTCCACTGCTCCACTGCTGCGACTACTGGCCGCCGATGAGCGACTCCTCGTGGTGTTGCCTGTCGAGTTTCCGCTGGTAATCGCGCTGCTTGCAGGTCGCCACGTTCGCGGCTCGTTTCTGTAATCAGCAATTAAAAGATAATAAATGTTTAAATCAAGCATGCATGGGTTTTTTTTTTTTTGTTGCTTTTAATGTTTTTACTACACCTCTTGTGTGCCTTTATGCATCCATAAACAAATTCTTTTCCAACTTACCTTCAAGTCTTTGGTGCGCTGGTAGATGCTTTGCATTTCCTTTTTGATTTTTATCAGCTTATCTTTGTATCGCCTCACATCGTTCATCTGAAACAACCAATTTTGGTGTCTTACTTTGTATTTTACAACTTTAAGTAACTTTGTATCGCTGTTTAACAGCAGATTAGATTAGGACACTAGACCATTTGCCTACAGTCACTGATAAGAGGCCACAAGTTGGCCAACTTAATTGGCTTAACGCTTTTACCCTTAAGCTTACTGTGGTATTGTGCCTTATGGAATGGCCCTAATTGGGCGACATTATTGATTGTCATGAACTGGTTGAGGTAATGAAATAAAGTCAAGAGAGAGTGGATTTCAGGTGAAGCTCTCTAACAGCTTGTCTCGGTAACGTAAATTAATGTCTAGAGATTTTTGTAATTTTTTTATAATTCTTTTTACCTAATAAACATTCGTATAAAGAAACCTTAAGGCAAATGAATATTTAATAAAACATTTAAAAGGCTTAAGATTTTCCATTGAAAGAAAATGAATTCAAGATTTATGGATCAGATAATTCAATACCTACCATGTCATTTAGCTTGGCCACTTCACTGCAGTCCAACTTGTACTTCTCCTTGGACAGGTCAATGTAGATCTTGTTCTGCCTTCCACTGAAATGAATTGGACTTCATATTGAGCTACACAACCTAGGAAAGAATCATAATACGTACATGAGCTCCCTAAGCTGGACTCGCACATGACCTAGCGGGGGTTCAGCGATTTGCAAAACCCCAGCGGACAATTGCAAAGAGGCTAAGCTGCAATCTATATCCTGGTGCTTGGAGGAGGTTGTAGTTTCGGTGCTCAATTTCGGTGATGTCTTTGGGGAGTGGGTGCTTGCAAGATCCACATTTGATTCTGCCGGTTCAGGCAGCTCATTAAGGACACTGGGAAGCAAAATGGGAGTCTTACAATTATGAAACTATATTAAAAGTATATTTACCTATCAATATTGCTGCTTTTCAACATAATAACACAAAATGATAAGGGAAAATAAAATAAACAATAATGTTTATGCTGCAACAGCTGATTGAAAAGTGTTGAAAAACGTTTTTATATTTTATACGTTTTTATTTTAATTTTTCTATAAAAAGTTTTGATGGCTTTAATATATTTTATAAAATAAAAAAATGTATTAAGGTTCCTGTTTTTTTAGGCAAAAAATATTTAATTGATATAAACTATATTATATTGTTTTAATGGTTTAGCCAATACACGAACCAACTACTACTTTTCTTACTAGCTTAAGTTAAAACCGCCTATTAATTTGAAAAATTAATTGTACTTATAAATTAATAACAACTAATTGGATTTAACTAAAACTACTTATATTTTATACTTAGAAAACGGGTTAAAAAACTATGTTATAGCTTTTACTTTAAATTTGTTTTTCGAACAGACTGCAAAAGCTTAAAAAACCGAAAGCCCAAAATCCTTGTACCTCGAACCCTTTTATTTTTTCTACTGATTTGCTATTAGTATAGTATAGTAAATTTAATAAATTAATACATTTAATTTATTGTTTCGTGTCTGATGTTTCTTTCTAATAGTTTTATTTCTAATTTTAAGTTGGACAGAATAGTTTTATTAATCATTTTATATTCGAAAGCAAGTATAAATGAAGAATAATATTAAATTATTTCCTAATCGATAATACTATTCTAATTTTAGGCACTATATTTTAAAACTAAAACTTAGAGATTTCAAGTAAAACAAAAAATGGGAAAAAACCTCTTACATATGTATGCCATGCAGACATTACAGCTTAGGTAAAAATCCGGAAATTTCTTTTGTTACCTTCTTATCCTCACCTTTTCCTGGCTATCAACTCGAGTACTTTTCCCGAAAAACGACATTCCCTGCAGATTTTGTTAGTCCCGCGGTTATCTTTCCAGGAAAATTTTTGGGTAATCGCGGTTCGGTCATTTTCGCCAAGGTCAAAGTCATTAGTCTGGGAAGAGGGACCTGTAATAGATATTGAAAATCTCGTTTACCTGGCTTACTATAAAAACTATTGGTCGTCCCACAATCGATCTGCACTGCTAGCTGAGTTCTCCGATGGACAACATCTATCTCTGGCCGACGGCAGCTACTGCCCACTGGGAACCGAATGAGGTCCTATGGAACCAGAGAATCGGATGTCGAGGACCACTGGACACATCGTGGAACCAATTCCGGAGAAGAAAAATCCAATACTCGACGGCAGCAGTGTCAGCAACATAGCGAATTTAAACAATTGTAAATTCTAGTTAAATCTATAGCTCAATTGTATATTTTAGTTAATCAAATTGTACATATACATATCATAATTGTATCTATAGTAGTTAGCCAATTTCAAATAGTACAATTGTATATATACATAGAATAACCAATTTTTAGCCCAATTGTATAGTCAAATTTAATAGTCAATTCAATAGTTCAATTGTATATATTCTTAGCCAATTATATAGTCAAATTTTTAGTTAAAATTTTAGTACAAATGTACATAATATATCTAGCTAATATTTATTTAAAAGAAAATGGAAAATTATGTATATTCTAAATATACGTGATATTTTTGCAATAAAATTCAATTTACAAAAACCAAAAAAAAAAAATGTTTTTAATTTTATAACAAAGAAAAATTACAGCAAAATCTCCAGTCATTTTGAAACCCCTTTCCAAAAATTTAGTTTATTTTTGTGAAAAATTCGAATATTCAAATAATAGTTATACCTTCTTTTTAACTTTAATATCTTTTAAAAAATCTGTAGGTCTTAAGAGATTTTATTAATATCAATGTTTGATTTCAAAACTATGAATTAAATGAAACTTCCCACAATCTACCACCTTTTCAAGAGGCACAATAAATATTTGTTTTAAAGTTTGTTTTAAACATTCTTTTAATGTTAAAAATTGTGTACATTGTTGCAGTCAATATAACAATTGCATATCTCTGTTGAAAATAAAACTAGTAACTAATACTAGATGATATTGCGAAAGGGGAAATTATGAACCTATCTGTGATGAACTAAAAAGATGTTCTAAACTTTAAACTTAAATACCAGATTTGTACTAACTAAATTAGTAGATAGGCAATTATGTATATTTGGTCAGACGATCGATACATATAATCATTGTCACGTGGCAGATCGTTTGAGATGGAGGGCTTTTTAGTGTGGTGGAAGCATAGCTAACAGTTTTCTTATCCCTTTTTAAAGTCCAGAATATCGGCCAGTGCCGCCGACTTGCCGGAGTCGTCCTTCTCCAGCTCAGCACGGGTGCAACGCCCACAGCAATCCGCCGAAGGCTTGTTCTCGCATTCTCCCAGCGCCGGTGGCTTAAAGTTGGGAGTCCAGGGACCCAGGCTACCGCTGGCGTAAAAGTCCATCGGATAGGCATTGGTGCGGGGCGATGAGTTGTGAGGCGTCCATTCGACATCTCCCAAAACCACAGAAAGCTCGTAGGGATTAAGAAGCGGCTGAGTGAAGGCGGAGCCCCAGTCAATCGAGAGTCGGGGGCATGCGATCTGAACAAAGGCGTCAATGTCTGCGAAAAGAGCCAGCTTCTGAGGGAAGATCTCCGACAGCAAAATAGTAGTCGTTTCAATGCCCTTTGCATGCAGTCGTTTCTCTAAAAACCGATGAACCCGTGAGCTGCCTTGGCGACCCAGTGTGCCTAAAATGATACCAATGCGTCGAGCCTTCTTAGATCGCTGCACGGCATCCAATCGAAGGTCCTGCATAGCTCTGTGATCATACTCTTCTATGGTGAATTTTTTTTCGTACGGATCGTACTTGTAGGACTGCAAGGAAATAAAAGAAATTATAGATATGACCTGCTTCAGATTATAAGAAGCTCACATACCTTTAGAAGCGGGTTCGCAATCATGGCGGATTCAAGATGAAAGCGCCCGTCTCCTAGATAAATGATCATTTTGGTCGTCTCGGGCAGTTGGGGCGAGGTGCAGCCGAGAATCTCACCCGGACTCAATGGCTTGGCCTGAGGAACTATCACATCATAGCCGGCTGCCTTAAGCTCCGTGGATGCAGCCTGGAGAGTGGTCACAAACTGGATTGTGCTGACCAGTGCTATCTGGCCCACATCTGGCCGAAAGTTTAGCTTCACCGAATCAAGGAAATGCAGCGGGTCAATTTTAATGTCCACAAAAATGTAAAGAACCTTGATGCCGCATGTCTGGTCCACAGGAATGAGGCAGCTGTGCCCGTAATGGACAAGAAGGTCAGCTCCCAAGGCCTGGGCCGTGTAGTCATCTACACAGCAAGCTCCGTAGGTGACGTCGCCCATGATGACAGTGTCGGCAGTGGTAAAGCGCTCCACGATATCGCTTATAACCATGGCGTACATGAGCAAGCCCTCCGGCAGCTGCAGAGCCACTCGCTTGGCCTTCATTTCCCTTATGCGCCAGATCGTCTTGTGCAGCTCAAAGTTATAGTTCGAGGGCAGGCGGTCGATGGCCTGCTGTAGCAACGGGTCATCGAGCAGCTCCTGGGGAATCCTGTTGATCCTTGCCTTCGGCTTGAATACTTTCTTGGGCCTGGCCCGTACCACAACCACATCACTGCTTTCGACTGTGGAAGCCGGTATGTTACTAGTGGGTTGGATCACGTCCAACATGGTGCTGTAATTAAAGAAAGGAAAGCAGATAAAGTTATATTTTTGTTGTTAAACAAAATAGAGAATATACTTTGATGTATCAGAAGTTTTGACTCAGAACCCTAAGTGATTGGCAACTTTACTTGAATCTATGATAATTTATTTATGCTAACACATTCACAAAATAAACAATAAACAAAGAGACACCACCAAAACGCATCGATGATGCCTCCGATGACTTGAATGGTGTACGTGACTGACGGAAGAACTGGAATGGAACCGGCAAGGACCGGCCCCTTGCATTTCAGCAAACCGGAAAAGTAAACCCCAAATATTATAATTAGCACAGGCCAGATGGGTGAATCACAGGTGTGGGACGACCTCGCTTTGTTGTGGGGAGGCACTTTCAATTTGAAGCGGCGCCAAGGTCTCGATTGGCAATAAACTCAACCCAGAACCAATTAGAGTTCTGTTTTGCAATTAAAACGCAATCAGAATATGGCAATGAACACACATAATTGTTTTTTTTTATTTAAAAGTATGTAATTGGTTTATAAGAATCGGAAATAATTAAAAGATTTGTTTTTAATTCAAGAAATTCAAGTAACTTTACAGATAAAAACTTTGTTTTGAATACTGAATGATTTCTATTGAAAAAAATAAATATTTAAAAACTCAGCACTGTTTATTTTAGTTATTGGTTTTTAGAAAATATGTAGTTCAAGTAATCATTTCAACTATCTTTCACTGCTCTTGTCTTACCTGATTTAAATTCACAAAATAAATTATTTAATAAGAGCTATTGTTTTGGGATCGTTCGACACCTTTATCAGTTGGACGTTAGACGCCTACTGACTTCGGGGGTTGCGATTTGGCTGCTGCACAGAAATTGGTCACTGAACTTTCCGAAGTGTTGCGCCATTGATAACTGTGTCTGAGTCACGTAGGCCGCACACCGTGCAACATGAAACGGGTGCATTACCTTCTTTTCTCTACCTGGTCTTAGCAGTTATCTATCTTAAAAACACCTTGAATTCGATCAAATCTGTATTGGCATTATTTTGAATTATTTGTTTCCCTATCTAGCACCTTTACAATGAATTAGTTTGCTTTTAGTCGGATATTCTTCTACAGACATGTACTCTGTAGGCGAGTGTAATTTTGGCAATAGATTGTTTATATTGATTGCGTTTGTTAACACACTTTTTTTTATTTATCACTCTGTTTTATATAGAGACTATAATTTGACATACTATCAAATAATTTACTTACGAATTTAATATTTAATATTTTTGTTAAAAGTTCAAAAATTGTTGACCGTCCAACCGCGTGTGAAAGTTAAATTAATTTGACAAACAGCTGTTCGATTGACAGATGGTCTTGCAGATAGTTTAAATATCGATTATTTTATTTCTTGGTTGTTGCAAAATTATTGTTTAAGTTTATTAAATATTATGATTCAATTTATGCGTGACGGTTCAAATATTTAAAAACTTATAATTCTGTTGCGTTGGAAAATATATCGATAGAACTATCGCATGCGTAACAGTGTTGAAAGTTTTTTTGAAAAAAAAGAAAGAAGAGGGGTAACTTAAAAAAATTTGAATTTACGAATTTCTCAATTTTTTTCAATAGCTCCATACAATTTTCTCCATTTTTGGCCCTTCCGATTGCCATAGCTCCTAGGATTAACATCGGATCGGGAAAATGTATACATTTCTGTGATTGCAGCTCCGAGTAGGTTAAAGCCTCAAACAAAACCTTCCTAAAATACCGTTTTTAAATTTTTCGAATTTTTAATTTTTTATTTTCTCCATATATCACGCCAGTTTTTATCCGATTCTTGAGCGGGATACATTAAACGATTTCTAGACCGATTCTCTATCAATCTGCATCAAAATCTAGCAACGAAATATTTTTTCGATTTTTTGAAAAATTTTCTGATGGATCCCCTTCAAATATCGGGAAAGTGCATGGAAGCCCAATATGGGCCCCAGCGAAGGCTATATCTCGGCCGGTTTTTATCCGATTCTTGAGCGGGATACATTAAACGATTTCTAGACCGATTCTCTATCAATCTGCATCAAAATCTAGCAACGAAATATTTTTTCGATTTTTTGAAAAATTTTCTGATGGATCCCCTTCAAATATCGGGAAAGTGCATGGAAGCCCAATATGGGCCCCAGCGAAGGCTATATCTCGGCCGGTTTTTATCCGATTCTTGAGCGGGATACATTAAACGATTTCTAGACCGATTCTCTATCAATCTGCATCAAAATCTAGCAACGAAATATTTTTTCGATTTTTTGTCAAATTTTCTGATGGATCCCCTTCAAATATCGGGAAAATGCATGGAAGCCCAATATGGGCCCCAGCGATGGCTATATCTCGGCCAGTTTTTATCCGATTCTTGAGCGGGATACCTTAAACGATTTCTAGACCGATTCTCTATCAATCTGCATCAAAATCTAGCATCGAAATATTTTTTCGATTTTTTGTCAAATTTTCTGAAGGATCCCCTTTAAAAATGGGGAAAATGCATGCAAGCGAAATATGGGCCCCAGCGATGGCTATATCTCGGCCAGTTTTTATCCGATTCTTGAGCGGGATATATTAAACGATTTCTAGACCGATTCTCTATCAATCTGCATCAAAATCTAGCATCGAAATATTTTTTCGATTTTTTGTCAAATTTTCTGAAGGGTCCCCTTCAAATATCGGGAAAATGCATGCAAGCCAATTATGGGCCCCAGCGATGGCTATATCACGGCCAGTTTTTATCCGATTCTTGAGCGGGATATATTAAATGATTTCTAGACCGATTCTCTATCAATCTGCATAAAAATCTAGCATCGAAATATTTTTTCGATTTTATGTCAAATTTTCTGAAGGGTCCCCTTCAAATATCGGGAAAATGCATGCAAACCCAATATGGGCCCCAGCGATGGCTATATCACGGCCAGTTTTTATCCGATTCTTGAGCGGGATACCTTAAACGATTTCTAGACCGATTCTCTATCAATCTGCATCAAAATCTAGCATCGAAATATTTTTTCGATTTTATGTCAAATTTTCTGAAGGGTCCCCTTCAAATATCGGGAAAATGCATGCAAGCCCAATATGGGCCCCAGCGATGGCTATATCTCGGCCAGTTTTTATCCGATTCTTGAGCGGGATACCTTAAACGATTTCTAGACCGATTCTCTATCAATCTGCATAAAAATCTAGCAACGAAATATTTTTTCGATTTTGTGTCAAATTTTCTGAGGGATCCCCTTTAAAAATGGGGAAAATGCATGCAAGCGAAATATGGGCCCCAGCGATGGCTATATCTCGTCCAGTTTTTATCCGATTCTTGAGCGGGATATATTAAACGATTTCTAGACCGATTCTCTATCAATCTGCATCAAAATCTAGCATCGAAATATTTTTTCGATTTTATGTCAAATTTTCTGAAGGGTCCCCTTCAAATATCGGGAAAATGCATGCAAACCCAATATGGGCCCCAGCGATGGCTATATCTCGGCCAGTTTTTATCCGATTCTTGAGCGGGATACCTTAAACGATTTCTAGACCGATTCTCTATCAATCTGCATAAAAATCTAGCAACGAAATATTTTTTCGATTTTGTGTCAAATTTTCTGAGGGATCCCCTTTAAAAATGGGGAAAATGCATGCAAGCGAAATATGGGCCCCAGCGATGGCTATATCTCGGCCAGTGTTTATCCGATTCTTGAGCGGGATATATTAAACGATTTCTTGACCGATTCTCTATCAATCTGCATCAAAATCTGGCATCGAAATATTTTTTCGATTTTTTGTCAAATTTTCTGAAGGATCCCCTTCAAATATCGGGAAAATGCATGCAAACCCAATATGGGCCCAGCGATGGCTATATCACGGCCAGTTTTTATCCGATTCTTGAGCGATTCTGAAACGATTTCTAGACCGATTCTCTATCAATCTGCATAAAAATCTAGCATCGAAATATTTTTTCGATTTTTTGTCAAAGTTTTTTGTCCCAATATGGATCCCCTTCAAATATCGGGAAAATGCATGCAAACCCAATATGGGCCCCAGCGATGGCTATATCACGGCCAGTTTTTATCCGATTCTTGAGCGGGATATATTAAACGATTTCTAGACCGATTCTCTATCAATCTGCATAAAAATCTAGCAACGAAATATTTTTTCGATTTTGTGTCAAATTTTCTGAGGGATCCCCTTTAAAAATGGGGAAAATGCATGCAAGCGAAATATGGGCCCCTGCGATGGCTATATCACGGACAGTTTTTATCCGATTCTTGAGCGGGATACCTTAAACGATTTCTAGACCGATTCTCTATCAATCTGCATCAAAATCTAGCATCGAAATATTTTTTCGATTTTTTGTCAAATTTTCTGGAGGATCCCCTTCAAATATCGGGAAAATGCATGCAAACCCAATATGGGCCCCAGCGATGGCTATATCACGGCCAGTTTTTATCCGATTCTTGAGTGGGATACCTTAAACGATTTCTAGACCGATTCTCTATCAATCTGCATAAAAATCTAGCATCGAAAAAGTTTTTCGATCTTTTGTCAAATTTTCTGAAGGATCCCCTTCAAATATCGGGAAAATGCATGCAAGCCCAATATGGGCCCAGCGATGGCTATATCTCGGCCAGTTTTTATCCGATTCTTGAGCGGGATACCTTAAACGATTTCTAGACCGATTCTCTATCAATCTGCATCAAAATCTAGCATCGAAATATTTTTTCGATTTTTTGTCAAATTTTCTGAGGAATCCCCTTCAAAAATGGGAAAAATGCATGAAAGCCCAATATGGGCCCAGCGATGGCTATATCTCGGCCAGTTTTTATCCGATTCTTGAGCGGGATATATTAAACGATTTCTAGACCGATTCTCTATCAATCTGCATCAAAATCTAGCATCGAAATATTTTTTAGATTTTTTGTCAAATTTTCTGAGGAATCTCCTTCAAAAATGGGAAAAATGCATGAAAGCCCAATATGGGCCCAGCGATGGCTATATCACGGCCAGTTTTTATCCGATTCTTGAGCGGGATATATTAAACGATTTCTAGACCGATTCTCTATCAATCTGCATCAAAATCTAGCATCGAAATATTTTTTCGATTTTTTGTCAAATTTTCTGAAGGGTCCCCTTCAAATATCGGGAAAATGCATGCAAACCCAATATGGGCCCCAGCGATGGCTATATCACGGCCAGTTTTTATCCGATTCATGAGCGGGATACCTTAAAAGATTTCTAGACCGATTCTCTATCAATCTGCATAAAAATCTAGCATCGAAATATTTTTTCGATTTTATGTCAAATTTTCTAAAGGGTCCCCTTAAAATATCGGGAAAATGCATGCAAGCCCAATATGGGCCCCAGCGATGGCTATATCTCGGCCAGTTTTTATCCGATTCTTGAGCGGGATACCTTAAACGATTTCTAGACCGATTCTCTATCAATCTGCATCAAAATCTAGCATCGAAATATTTTTTCGATTTTTTGTCAAATTTTCTGAAGGATCCCCTTCAAATATCGGGAAAATGCATGCAAACCCAATATGGGCCCCAGCGATGGCTATATCACGGCCAGTTTTTATCCGATTCTTGAGTGGGATACCTTAAACGATTTCTACACCGATTCTCTATCAATCTGCATAAAAATCTAGCAACGAAATATTTTTTCGATTTTGTGTCAAATTTTCTGAGGGATCCCCTTTAAAAATGGGAAAAATTCATGCAAGCGAAATATGGGCCCCAGCGATGGCTATATCTCGTCCAGTTTTTATCCGATTCTTGAGCGGGATATATTAAACGATTTCTAGACCGATTCTCTATCAATCTGCATCAAAATCTAGCATCGAAATATTTTTTCGATTTTTTGTCAAATTTTCTGAAGGATCCCCTTCAAATATCGGGAAAATGCATGCAAACCCAATATGGGCCCCAGCGATGGCTATATCACGGCCAGTTTTTATCCGATTCTTGAGTGGGATACCTTAAACGATTTCTACACCGATTCTCTATCAATCTGCATCAAAATCTAGCATCGAAATATTTTTTCGATTTTTTGTCAAATTTTCTGAAGGATCCCCTTCAAATATCGGGAAAATGCATGCAAGCCCAATATGGGCCCAGCGATGGCTATATCTCGGCCAGTTTTTATCCGATTCTTGAGCGGGATATATTAAACGATTTCTAGACCGATTCTCTATCAATCTGCATCAAAATCTAGCATCGAAATATTTTTTCGATTTTATGTCAAATTTTCTGAAGGGTCCCCTTCAAATATCGGGAAAATGCATGCAAGCCCAATATGGGCCCCAGCGATGGCTATATCTCGGCCAGTTTTTATCCGATTCTTGAGCGGGATACCTTAAACGATTTCTAGACCGATTCTCTATCAATCTGCATAAAAATCTAGCATCGAAATATTTTTTCGATTTTATGTCAAATTTTCTGAAGGGTCCCCTTCAAATACCGGGAGAATGCATGCAAGCCCAATATGGGCCCAGCGATGGCTATATCTCGGCCAGTTTTTATCCGATTCTTGAGCGGGATACCTTAAACGATTTCCAGACCGATTTTCTATCAATCTGCATCAAAATCTAGCATCGAAATATTTTTTCGATTTTATGTCAAATTTTCTGAAGGGTCCCCTTCAAATACCGGGAGAATGCATGCAAGCCCAATATGGGCCCAGCGATGGCTATATCTCGGCCAGTTTTTATCCGATTCTTGAGCGGGATACCTTAAACGATTTCCAGACCGATTTTCTATCAATCTGCATCAAAATCTAGCATCGAAATATTTTTTCGATTTTTTGTAAAATTTTCTGAGGGATCCCCTTCAAAAATCGGGAAAATGCATGGAAGCCCAATATGGGCCCAGCGATGGCTATATCTCGGCCAGTTTTTATCCGATTCTTGAGCGGGATATATTAAACGATTTCTAGACCGATTCTCTATCAATCTGCATCAAAATCTAGCATCGAAATATTTTTTCGATTTTATGTCAAATTTTCTGAAGGGTCCCCTTCAAAAATCGGGAAAATGCATGGAAGCCCAATATGGGCCCAGCAATGGCTATATCTCGGCCAGTTTTTATCAGATTCTTGAAAGGGATATATTAAACGATTTCTAGACCGATTCTCTATCAATCTGCATCAAAATCTAGCATCGAAATATTTTTTCGATTTTATGTCAAATTTTCTGAAGGGTCCCCTTCAAATATCGGGAAAATGCATGCAAGCCCAATATGGGCCCCAGCGATGGCTATATCTCGGCCAGTTTTTATCCGATTCTTGAGCGGGATACCTTAAACGATTTCTAGACCGATTCTCTATCAATCTGCATAAAAATCTAGCATCGAAATATTTTTTCGATTTTTTGTAAAATTTTCTGAGGGATGCCCTTCAAAAATCGGGAAAATGCATGGAAGCCCAATATGGGCCCAGCGATGGCTATATCTCGGCCAGTTTTTATCCGATTCTTGAGCGGGATACTTTTTCTGTGATTGCAGCTCCAAGTAGGTTAATCCCTCAAACCAAACCTTCCTTAAAAACGTTTTTTTAAATTTTTCGAATTTTTACCAAGGGGTACCCAAGGGTATAATATCAGATATTTTGGGCTTGGCTTGCGCTTTCGACACAGTTTACCTCGTCAAAAGGTGTTTTATTTGATCTAAGTAATTATTTATTTTGAATACAGCCCAAATGTATTTTAGTTTGTATATAATTTAAGTAACAACATTGCACCGAAGGTATTTTTTGGTTTCTACTGCTTTGAGCTCTCTGCTTCGGACACATCAGCCTCCTCCGCATCCTCTGAAATCAAAAAAGGCAGGTTATAAATAATATCTGTGCCATTTTGAAGATAATTCCACTTTTGTTCACCTACGCTTTCCGCCGGGAAGACGCCTTTGACGTTCCTGTTCCACGGCCGCAAAATACTCCGAAGCTGCCTGCTCACAGGCACCGACGAAGGGCGCCATATTCACCTTTCCGTTGACCATGGTTATGTCAGTCTGATCCTGGCCGTGATTAGCCTTCACTTTTAGTTTGCTCTCTCTCGACTTTGCTTCCAGGATCTTTTCACGTCGGTTCTCACGCTCGAACATCTGCAAAGACATATTGAAGTGTTTCTAACTTTGAATGGAAATCGAAACCTACCGCAGTGAGTAATGGTTTGTCATTCTTGGCCGACATCACCATGTTGTCGGAGACTTCGATGAGGAAGGTGGCACCAAGTTGACTGCCACAGCTAACGAACTTTCCATTCTCATTGGTGCGGACGCAGTACAAGGGTTCATCACACACCTTGACCGTGAGCACGGGTTCGTTTTGTTGCTGCAACAAGTCCCAGGTGTCCAGAACTCCATCCATTCGTGTAATAAAAAACTGAGATACTCTGGAATGGAAAATATTAGTGGTTACTTGTTAAACACCTCGATAAATGACAAACTTTGTATAGCTCCAAGCTCCATCGGTAAGCATAGAGCTGCTGCTCTTGGTCCAGATAATGGAGCTCTCCCGGCAATCCTCTGACCATATCCGGGCACACCAGTCGCCCACGGTAAGGAAGTTCTTCACAAAGGCCGGATTTCGGGTGATGGCGTACACCGGTCCCAAGTGGCACATCATCTGTGAAAAGCCGATGGTTAGAAAAAAGTAAAACCCAAACCAAAGATGAGGATTCCCCACCCGTATCTGGATCTTTTCCGTGGGCGTTTTGCCCTTCCGATTGCAGGAAAAAAGCATACCCATCTCAGTTCCCGCCATGAATCTCGTTGGAATTGTAGTCTCATACTCCAGCACCGAAATTCCGTAGGATCGGGATAGATCCTGGTCGTCGCTCTTTACCGGATCCATGAGGAGGCGGTCTAGAGGTTCGGTGAGCTTACGGGTATCCCACCATAGAACCTGCCCGTCAGAGCCGCCGGAGAAGAACTCAGTGCCGCTCTTAGAGTTGTTCCACAGCACCGAGTTGACGGGATCCCGGTGACACACTTCCCTCTCGCTGATCATTACCGGATTCTTGCCATGTCGGGTGTCCCAGGCGGCAACCTGGCCATTGTACATGCCGCTCACCAGACTTGTGGGATCCTTCTGGTTGTATTCTAGACAGACGCACGGAACCTTTGGCTCCAAGGTGAGAAAGGGCTCATTTGGGTTCTCCACCTCCCAAATGTAGGAGTTGCACTTCTGCCCGGACTTGTCGCCCTGGAATCGCATGTCACAGTGGCTGACGGCCATTTTAATGCCACCATCAGGGGACCAGGACAAATGCTTCACTGGCACCTTGATAGGATTAGGATCTCTGTAGACGTTCACGGTTCGGGACTTGCAGGGTTCGGGCAACGGAGCCGGGTCCAGGTTTTCGAAGTAGTTCTCGTAAATGTTGACCGCGTTGTTCTGGTGTATATAGTGTTCCATGGGCTTGGTCAGGTTCATCACCTGGGTTATGTAGTTCTCGTCCTTTTCGATTTTACGCTTGTAGCGCACCGTCTGCTCCGGATCGTGCATATTGATGTCCTTTGGCCAGCCACCCTCATTGTGGGTTATTCCGGTGCTCTTGTACGTGGCCCTTTCCGTATTGGCCACGCTTAGGGACGTCTGTCCGGCGTATTGCGTCACTCTATCCACCGGATTTTGCAGGATGTAGTTCTTCACCAGCTCCGGGTTGCTGTTCTCGCTGAAGATCACCTCATCCTTGTCCTCGAAGTTAACGCGGGCTCCAAAGGAGCGGCGCTCCTTCTTAAAAATATACTCCATTTTTTTTCACAAAATATGCTTCTATTTGATATGGCTTGCAAGAGCGTTGAAGAGAAAATGACGGGCTTATTGGTGATTGATTTTGGCCATGGCAACTGACTGTTTGTTTGGTCAATAATCTGGTGCCAAAACAAAATTATTTACCTTTACATAGTATTCCCATTTAAACACTTCATGTGATCCACAGATTTGCAAATTTATTTTAAACATAAATGAGATATTTTTTTTGCATAGAAATGGTAGCAAACAAATAGTCGATAATGCTAAAACTTTCGTACTTACAATAGTAATAGTTGTAGTTGTAATATTAAAGCGATCGAACAGATATTTTACAGGGAAATCGGCGGAAATGAGGACTGGTCTAAGGATCTACTTAAGAAAATGTCTATACACATTAACTTTTTTTATTTAAATATTACTTCTGTTCGTTTTTTATTTGTTTTTTTTTTTTCAAGCACTGAGCAATCCTTGATGGGGTCTTGGGGATTATCCGCTTTCTGGGTCTTCAATCCATTAAAATTATCATCTTAAACTCTGGCGACTGGCGACAATCTCTAATATTTGTATATAGCATTGCTTGGCGGCAAATCGCATTAAGATTTGTTATCGTTAGGTAGGTGTATTCGTTTCTAGCTTTGCTTCCTGCAACATCACATGATTTCACTCCACTCCTACATACGCCTTCTACATGGAACTACAGCTCGAATTAAGTCGGTCTTTGGGGGGTATCGGGGATGGAAACTATAGTTTCTATAATTTGATTTGATTTTGTTTGGATTTTGATTGGAACTTATAATAAGATTTAGCACCAAAAACAGCTGATATACGTAAAAGAAACTACACTTAGATACTATAATAGATCGCTCAAAAGTCATGCATAAAAGTGTATTCCGCATGGTTTGTCTTAAAATGAACAAATCGGTAATAATATATTATAAACTGGTAGTTTTAAAAATAGTTTTTCGATACAAGTTTTGCAGTAATCAGTTTGACGAAAAGAATTATAGCTTATTCTCGTTTTTTTGTTTGTTTGTGGCAGTTCGTTTAGCGTGTCCGATCCAAAAAATACAAAAAAAAATTAATAATCCTGACCAGGATTTATGGATCCTGGTAACTGACACGCAAGTCGATCAATATGTCTAGACAACTAATAGTAATCACCGCTCCAGATCCCTATCTCTGATCGCCTAATAATACAAAAATGTTGGCAATTAACTCAACGAAAGCCACGCCCAACTAGAATCTGAATCTCAATCTGGACAAACTGCAAACCAATCGAAATGATTTTGGCGACACACATATACATTTATAGATTAGGGATTTCTTTATCACTTTGCTTTTTCAGATCCTCTGATCCTTTGATCCACTCCTTAGCTCGGTAACTCCTAAACTCCATTCCACTCCAAGGGTAAAACTTTAACACGCACATAAAGACTTTCATACGCAGCCGAACAACTTATCCAACGGCTGTGCTGGGTGCTCCAACTCCACATCCACCTCATCCTCCGCAAAAATACATATCGATCTATCTCTATCTCTCTCCCTTGGTCGCCACTCCGTCTCCGCCCCGTCTCAGGTTCCGGCTTACAACGAGAAGTACTTGAGAAACTGGGCGGGCGGTACGGGCTGGGCCAACGCCAGCTGGTGGCCCGCCTCCTCCAGGCGCTGCTTGTAGTCCGGGCTCTGGTCGACGATGCACGGATGACCGTCTGACGGCCAAAAGAGGCAGCAGCAGGAGCGGCACAGGGCCAGCACCTCGGCGAACTGGTAGTCGTCGTTGACGCCGTAGGTGCGCCGGAGCTGGTGGTAGATCTGCTTCCAGTCTTTGATGTCTCCCATCTTCTTGAACTTCTCCAGGTCGAGGATGGTGTGGATCTGTCGCTGGTTGAAGTGGAAGCGTGTCAGTTCGCGCCAGATGCGCTGCTCCGAGACTAGCTTGGCCATGGTGTCCCAGGCCTCAGCGGCGGACTCCAAATCCCTGTGATCCGCAATGCACAAAATAATCTCACGGACGCACTCCTCCGGCAGCTCATGCAGCTTCGGCTTGGCCTCCGGATCGGGCTCACGGATCTCAATCTGGCTGGCCACGCGCTGGATGCGCTTAATAGTGGCCAGGTGCTCCTTCCACAGGTAGGGACTGCCTAGGGGCTTGCCCCAGCACTTCTGGTTCTCCTGGTGGACGATGTGCTCCAGTTTCAAGGCCAGGCCACGCAAAACATTAGGATGCTGCTGACTGTCGTTGACTAATGGAAGTGGGAGGGTAGTTATTTAGAAGCTTTTGGTCTAAAATCCGGATCACTTACCATGAGAGGCCACTTCCTCGACCATTTGGAGCAACTGGCGCTGTGCACTGCCCGGCAGGCTGGCGATGCCCTTGTTGGAAACCAGCAGAAGGACCGCACAGATGTAGTGGAAGCGCTTCCGGTCCCGAACTGAACGACGGAAGTCCAGTCGCTTCACCGCCTCGGTCAGGCCATTAAAGCCGGCGATTTCGCGGGTGCACCGGATCGTGATATGGTAGTGAGGTGGCATGATTGTTCCCTCCTCCTCCGCAACCGCATCCTCGGCATCCTGGCAGCTACTGCTTCCCTCCGAGTGGTGTCTACACAAAGAGAAAATTAAATATTTATTAAATCTATATAGGATAATAGATTTTAGAGATTTTTCTTAGTGTCTTGACTACCATGAGATAATCCATTGTCAATGCAACATTTCGGAAGTGATTCCGATCCAAACTCCCCCCATAATAGTTGGTCCAAACCAGTCTAGCCAGTTACGGCTTATGGCTCTTCTGGTTGTGGACGGAAAATGCAACTACCATTCGGATTTGGTGGCTTACAAGTGTTAAACGCTTTTCAAGAGACGCCTTTCAGCCTTTCAAGAGGCGGAAGCTGTCCGATTCCCACCAAAAGTCCGGTTATTAAATTAAGCAATTCGGCAAATGGAAAACCAAGCGGCTGTCAAGTTTTTTTTTTTAGCGTTTGTTTAATGCAATTACAAGCTCTGGGTCGTGTAATTTTTGGGGATTGTACACGTTTGCAATTCAATTTAAACGAAATTAAGTGCTACACTATGGGAAAATAGTAGGAAATGGCAACGTTTAAGAGATAGTCATCTCTGGCTATATTTATGGATTTTATTCACTGTTTTTTATCCAAAAACTGAGATACTGAACTAAGCCCCATTAATGATCTTGAGCATCGGTTTGGCTAAAAGAGAGATAAGAAAATGTAATTACCAGGCAATAAGGGGGAAAAACTTCAATTAGACAAAGTGCATCCATAAGAGAAGAGGCAGCCCACTTTGACCCAGTTTCGGCCCCGATTTTAAAAACAATTTCACCGCACCCAAGGACAGGACATGTCCTCACCGGAGAATCCAACAACCGCAAATGGTCAAGGCGCATCGATCCACCGGAGGAGGGCTGTTTCTTAATGTCCTTCCACTTCTTAAAAATGAGAGTGAATTTAATTCGGCATCAACTGCAGTCTGCAGGCAGCAGCGGGCTTAGGGGTCTGTAATCAGTAGTAATCCACTTATGGTCCCAAAAGGAGCACTACCTTCCTCCCCACCGAGAGCAACAATCGGTGGAACTAGGAGGCCAAGGAGCAGAGAACGTACAAAAGCTCTTGGCCCAGCTGGGGGGGTTGTGAATCTTTGTTGGCCAGGTCCTAAGTAGGTCACCGCCTTTATTGGCCCACCCTGCGTATACGTGATGTATACTACCAGACTGCATCCATGTGTTGCTGCCATGATCTGTTATTGTTATTGTTTCCTTTTCTAGTTTTTCTACTTTTGGCATAGAATTTTCGCATTTCACTGAGCGACAATGGCGGATGTTGACAATATAAATGTTTTTTTATTAAAACGAAGCAATTTTAACAATTTCGAAGCAATTTTTGAAGAGTTCAAGAGATAGACAATAAAGAAGTGACTTTATTATTGTTATTTGCCAGACCAATTTCAGTCTTGCTCGAAATTCGTGAGTGTGTCTTAGATAAATGTGCAATTACATATCCGTAGATCCATATAAAAATAGCGAACGAACAATGAAAATTGTTGGGCTCGTCTCCCTACCCCTCTCTCTCTCTGGTTACTCCGGATCCGTATCCAAACTCCGGCCATGAGATCATCAGACCATGCCGCAGACCAGGCCGACGACCACGTGATTCACATAAATCACTCACCGACGTCACCATCAAGCGTTCATTTACCTTTCTCCAAGCGAATTAAACAAATGAAATGCAGTGCAGGGCGGGAAAACAGCCATGAAAAGCGGGAAAATTGGACAGATGATGGTGGATGGTAGATGGAGGGGCGGGACTCACTGCAAATCGCTTTTCTATTTTTATGCCTTGTGACCTTTTTCGACATAAATATATAATTGGAAATGAAGTTGAGGACTGGCTAAGGAGCACTTTCAGGGCATACACTCCCCTCTCTAATTTTAGAACAAGAAATTGGAAGCGATCATTATATGAGATTTGAGAATGGAAATAGTGGCTTGGAGAGATACTTTTATGGCCGAAAAGGTAGGGAAAATAGTTTTTCTTTAATTAAAACTGGCAGATACTGAATCGATAAATCACTTCCACAATTTTCGGCGCTGCATTCATTAATCTTTAATAATCAAGCCACTGAATGTGTCTTAAAAATGTGGCAAAAAAATAAGACTAAAATGGAAAAAAATCCAGAGGAAAATTGATCAAAAAGCGAGCGGTCGAGCGGTCGATCGTCGGTCCGCAGATGTTCAGTGAAGAGTGCAGTGAAAGTGGGTTGCGATTCCCACTGCGATTCCGATTCCAACGACTCTGAAGTCTGTCGGAAAGTCGTCACGTCCGCGTGTGCACTTTGGATTCGCTTTTCCATGCAATTTCGAATTTCTAATTATTATTTTTTCAGGCATTATCTAATGGGTTCAGTGCCGGTGGCCATTTCAATTTTTAATTTACCAGAAAGAAAGTTGGGTAATGCTCGAAATGAGAGCCTAACACGGTTATGAAATGCTCACGCAAGTGAAAAATAAATATATTTAATAACTATTTTGAAAATTAAGTCATGTGTGTCATACCCATACCAATCTATGCTCCATTTCCCATATTTCGCAGCTTAAAATAAAATCTGAAAACCAAACCTTGAACACGAGTTGATTACAAAGTATTACAGTATTGCAATGTCTAATGAATCTGACCTCTTGAAAGTGCGTGTTACATAAATTATTTGTGTTATTTTTTTTTTTTATAGGAGATAAGCCGATGAGTTACATAACCCAGAGCATGAAAAACATGCACACACGCGGAAGATGTCGGCGGAGAACTTGAAGTGCACTTTTGACAACTCATAAAGAACGCATCGAACCCGTGGAGGGGGCGTTTATTTTTGGCATTTAGAGGGAGCAGTCGTAAATGGTAAAAATGCGGAAATAGAGTCGCCTCGAGTCGTGATATAGTCGTTTTGGGGATATGCATATATAAACAATACAGGTCACAATAATAGCTCTAGCAATACTTCACTACAATTGCGACTCTATCTAAAGTTAGACCCAAAAACCCATCAAGTCTGGTTACTTTGGACCAACTTTATGTGGCAGCCAGACTGGGAAATCGCAGCCTTGGCAACTTCGAAGCCCAAATACACATTCACCCAATAGTTCATACATTCATACTATCCGTAGGCGTGAAACTCGGTCAAGTTTAGGCCAAATGGAAAGGGGTGTGAGTGAGTTTGAGCTGCCAGAGCTTGCAACGACACCAAAAGCTCAAGGTTCAGCACCACCCATCGCCACCCATCAGAAATCCAGCCCAACTCCCTTTTTTCCCGCCCACTTGAATCGATCAAAAAGGTATTGTAATTTCCATAAATGAAAAGTATATATTGGAAATCCATCAAAGTCAAACAAGTGACTGGTAATGTTTGATATCAAAATTAAAAATTCAAATTTAATAAATCAACTAAAGGAAAGGAAGGAAGAAAAAAAAGAGACTAAATGAAGGTTAAAAATAAATTATTTATGCTTTTACTTTAGACGATGTATTTTAGAATGATTTATTGAGAAATCTGTAACGGATTAGTTACAGAAAATGGGAATCTATTTGATGGATTTGTCAAGCTTAACTTTATACTTTACATGGACTTCCATGGTCTTTGTATGTAACTAAACTAGAGCACAAAAAAAGACCCCATTTTCACTCTCACCAGCGATTGTCTTAATGTTTGCAAAACTTTTTGTTCCACTTGCAATTTCCAATTGCATTCATCGGAACGGAATAGCAATCAATCAAATGAACAAATCGATCAGATCTCCATCGGGGAGGGGGCTTTCACAGCCATTTAAAGTGACTCATTGTGGCCAGACCAGAAATTATTAGGCTCACATGATTGTTGATTTTTGGCTAAAAACTAATTTTAAGGAAATTCAAACATGACTTGTGGATTTAATGCGGCTTTCATGGGCATAAAACGGAGCTATTGTCGCACATCTGATGATGGTCTACCGCCTCTGGGGGCCTTTGTTTGGGCCATTGTTTGAGCCACAACAATTATCCGTCGTTCTGCTTTGGCCAACACGGCTTCAGTGTTCAATGGCACGACTATTAAATCGAATGATTTAAATATTTCGGTAGACTTTACTTCAGGTAGCACATACCAATCACACACACTAGATGGAATTTCTTTTGCCTTTCGAATGGCTTTGATGGACGACCTCTTGATAGAACTGGTTCAAGGTTGTAACTTATCTAGCCTTTGTTGTCCAACCGATAAGGTTCTCTTTTTTTCGCAATGAGGTGATGTTTACCAAGATTAAATAAAATGAAAGTTGGCACTCATTCACTCACGGAAGTAGGCAACTAGTCTGGTAATTAATGTGCTCAACTGACTCATTATTCACCTCAAAGAAATCAGTTCATTGAATCCTATTTATTTTTATTTACTTCTTGACTTTGATAGCAGAATAATGATTAGATTTGGGAAATAAATCAATCGAGAACGGGAATTGCTTTCACAACTTGCTTTCTTGGAGCTGCAATCTTATCGAATAACATTAAAAACTACGCAGTTTTGTATAGAGTATTACTATATATGGTCATAAACTTTGATGCACCTTTAAGGTCATATCTTTATTGGTTATACAAATCTTTGGGATTTGCTTTTCAATTCAAACATTGAAAAATGCAAATTGTGCATTGGAGAGGTGAGTTTCATCAGCAACTGGCGACAGTTTCATAATTGGGACGCCCGTCAATCAAAGGTCTATTGTGTAAAGTTGCGTATTCGCCCCATAGGTTCGAGGTACTCTGAATATCAAAGAAATATGCGTAACTTACCGCTTCCGCTTGCCGCCGCACTCCAGCACCTTCAATCGCTCCCAGCCCTCGTCGGTCTTCACCCAGGCCTCCCCCGGAGAGCGAAAATCTTTTGAAATGAACGCCATCTTTGGTCGGATTCGGAATCGGATGCGGATTCGGATGCGGATTCGCCCTTTGTGTGGTTTGTTGCACTAATTGCTGAACGATCTTTGTATTGTTTTTTTCGCGTTTTTTGTAGATTTGTATTGTTTTTTTTTTTATTATTTTATTGTGTTTACTTTTTTTTATTGTATGAGCGGACGGCGGTTGAAGATACACGTTTTTATTAGCTGCAACAGGGAATTTCATAATTAAATGTAATTTTAATCAGGCCATTGTACAATATTAAAAATTTGTAATCAATTCAGAGCTAGCATTAGATGGGGGCATATATTTTACCTAAGAGTACCCTATAGTTCCTACTAGCTGGCTGTTATAGGCTTATATTTTTTTATTTTAAACCTTAAGATTTTAGATGTGAATAAAACAGATGTTTTTATTATTTTAATTTTTATACAACCAAAATCAAATCTAACCAAAGGGTATCCAAAAGTCCCCACCTTTTTAGACTCAAAAAAAACGAATATCGCAACAAGCGTTTAATAATAATAAAAAAAAAACCAAAACAAAACAAAATAAAAAAGGCAGCCCAAATAAGGAAAACACGATTGGGGCAACTGAGAGAGGGAGCAACGAGAAAGAGAGCACTTCGACCAGCTGTTGGGCTCGCTCGTCGTCGATGGGGGGCTTGTGGGGCGCTTGGGGCCGGGGGGCAGTGTTTTGCTGTTGTTTGGCTCCCTCTCTTTCTGAAGCTCTGGCCTATTCCGTGAATACACAGCTGATTTCTGCAATTACGCGTTTGTTTTGCCTTTGTTGTTATTGCTTGTAAAATTTTCAGAGCATTTTCAGTTTCCCCAGCACGCAACCGAATTTTTACTTTCATTTCCGCATCTCAAAAAGCCATTGCAATGACTTCAAAAAGATGAATAGTTTTATTTTTGAATAGTTTTACCAACACAGTATTTTTGACACGAAGACACAGCCGAGCTTTAAAATATGGAACACATTTTAGGAAATTGCAAGAAACGCAATTTCCATGGTTGTTTTCCCTCTTGAGTTATTTTTACGCATTCTAAAACGCAATTATCGCGTAATTGCTTTGGCTTACTTGCAGGCAAATACTAAAGCACTCTGCCTGGAAAGCGCTTTTCCGTTTTCCACTGCCGCACGTTGCACTCGAGCCACCAACTAAAGTGAACTGTCAGTGGCGCAGGGCCCGAAATAGAAGGAAAACTAAGCACCCGATGTAACGGCCGAAAACACGCAGCTTATTTTAGTATGAATGCAGCGAGACCGCCAAAAAATACCACGCCGTTATTTGAATTTCAAAGCTGCTTATCGATTGAATGGTAGCCCTGGTAAAATATCGATTACTAAAGAAAATTTCACAATCGAAATACCGGAAAAATAAAAATACCAAAACACTTTGCTTTTGTAAAATCGGACGATTTCATAATTTCTCAGCAAGCGGAAAATTACCATTTTGTTGGAGCTTATAATGTCGGGCGCGGAGCAAGGACCTAAGATCAAGTACGGGGAAAACGCTCCAAAGCTGGACAAGGCGCAGCTGCAGTTCATGAAGCTGATCGAGGAGCAGAACCTGGACCGCGTGCAAAAACTGAAACGCATTCGTCGCAACAATCTGCTGACTGCCGGCGCCCTGGGAGTCTCTGTGCTGGCCATTTACGGCTATTCGATCTTCTCGGTGCAGCAGGAGAAGTTCCTGGACGACTTCGAGGAACCCAAGAAGATCACCACCAACTAGCAGTCTAACAGATTTAGTTACCCATCTAGTTTATAAGCGTTTTCTTCCTTTTACACGAAACCCTTTGAAAGTCGTTGCACAACAATGTAAGTGTAAAACATTACAGAATTGATATGGTTTCTTGACGAGATTCTTATGCCCACAGATGTCACAAGCCGCTGCCCGTGTCCTGCAGAGTGGCATGCGCTTGCCACCTCTGCCCACCATTCGCGAGCTGGTGAAGCTCTACAAGCTGCAGGCCATGAAGCAACTCAGCCAGAACTTCCTCATGGACGAGCGCCTGACGGACAAGATTGTAAAGTCGGCGGGTCGCATTGATCACAGCGATATAGTGCTGGAGGTGGGCCCCGGGCCGGGAGGCATCACCCGTTCCATCCTGCGCAGGCAACCCCAACGCCTGATACTAGTCGAGAAAGATGAGCGGTTCGGAGAGACTCTGCAATTGCTGCGAGAGTGCGCCAAGCCCCTGAACATCCAATTGGACACCTACTACGATGACATTTTGCGGTTCAATATAGAGCACCATGTACCGGATACGTCGCAGCGCCTCCATCTGATTGGTAACCTGCCGTTTGCCATATCCACGAGGCTGCTTATCAATTGGTACGCGGATCTGGCTGCCAGGAGAGGTGCCTTTCGGCGCAACGACACTTGCATGACACTCACATTTCAGAAGGAGGTGGCTGAACGGATTTGTGCCCCTGTCGGAGGAGACCAACGATGCCGGCTGTCTGTCATGTCTCAGATCTGGACTGAGCCTGTGATGAAGTTCATCATACCGGGCAAAGCGTTTGTTCCAAAGCCACAGGTGGACGTGGGCGTTGTCAAGCTGATTCCATTGAAACATCCCAAGACGCAGCTACCGTTTCCTCTTGTCGAGCGTGTGGTGCGGCACATTTTCAGCATGCGCCAAAAATACTGCCGGCGGGGCTATGGTACGCTCTTTCCACAGGAGGGTCGTGAAGAGGTCACCCACAATCTGTTCCAGCGGGCTGAGGTGCAGGACACGCTTCGATCCTTTGAACTGTCCGTTGAGCAATGTTTGCGATTGGCTGAAGCTTACTCGGAGTATATTGCATCACATCCGGAGGTGGAGAAATATGATTACCGGGCGCCTAAAAATCTTGAAATCCTATAGTGCTACGATTTTCACACCTGTTTATAAATATTGTAAAATGTATTTAATTAGTTGAGTAAACACAAGAGTCTTAAAAGTGTAAACGGTACGAAAAAATTGTACAAATAGTGCGGACGGAATGTTAGACGAGATTCTAGCGTCATTGGTGTGTTTCTAAGGCACTGTTTGGAATGCGTGTCTGATGTTTTTAGCGGAGGAGTGCGGATGCTACTGCAATAAGTCCCAGAACTGCAGATATTTGCATCCCGCTGGCACCGTTGCAGCGGTGGTCTAGGAAGCAGAAGCAGAACGTGGTGTCCGTGAAGTAGTCCCTCTTGACGTCATGCTCCTTGATGGTGTGGTTTACGTAGTTCGCCAGTAGCACATCCTTAGCGGCTGGACGGCAACCCTCGTACTTGTCGGCGGGAATGTCGCGGCGGAAGTTCAGGGCGCTCAGGCACTCGCGGGTGATGGTCTCCCGAGCTAAAAGGTTTTCAGACAAAGCCACGTGAAAGGTCTATCTAATATAACTGCAGCCCCAACCACTTACCCCCTCTTCGCTCAGTCACTTTGACGCAGATGTCATCCGGTTCGGGGCACTGCTCGCCCAGGAATCCTATGCCCCGCCAGTTAAACGTCTCCCCGCATCCGGGCGTGGCTGATGTACAGCGGTAGCACCAAATGGCCGCACCTTTTAATAAACAAGTTAATTAAATCTGACTGTGGGCGCACTTGATCAAGCCAATTAAGGTCCCTTCTTACCTTTATTTACTAAAGCTGCCAGCAGCAACATCACCGTGAGAGTCTGGGCCTTCATTTTGTGTTTATTAATTGATAATAAAATGAATTCAAAACAATATAAATATTGTTTTTTTGCGATAATATTGTTCTTTTTAGCAATATTTTTTATGTTGAAACAAAAATAAGCAACGCCCAAGCTGGCGATAACGATAACAGTCCCTTTATCGAATAAGTATTCGATAGCTCGGCTTAAAACCTAAAAATATACCACTTACCAGTGTTGGTAAGTGGCAACATATTTATGAAATTGTGTAAAATATTTAAAAAAGTTAGGGTTTTAAAAAAATATATGTTATCGCCAAGCGTTGGCTTTTTTTATGACTATGTGTAGTTTGTTAACGATTTTTATATTTAATTTATGATTTTTTGTATAAATTGGTTAATTGTAGAAGAAATGAAAAGATTTATCGACAAAAGCACTAAAGCATTGTGGGAATTGAGAATGAGATTTATTTGTGTTTTAAGTACGCTTTCAATTTCTATTTTTGTAACATCCACAGCTGGCTGTTCAAAGAAGGCACTCAGGCTTCAAGCATTTCCTGTTGGGTCTAATAAACCGAGCTATAAACTTAAGATTCGAGCCAGGCACAAAGTCGGTAAACCGTTGGACTCAACGAGCAATAAACTTTTGCTTTGGTCGTATTTGGAGCCGGCTATGGATCGTTTCAGCTAAGGCATGTGCGATGTTTGCCAAGCGAAGGAAGAGGCCCAGGTGAGTCAGCCACGAGTCTGGCCGTAATCTTCTGGCTTATTGACAAAGTCCAAAAAAAGAAGAGCGCGTAATCCGGTGGACGGTGGACGACAGACGTGTGGATGTGTTGACTGCGCAAATAAGATGGGAGGAGGGAGGAAAACATTCAAATTTGGACATGACGTTGCCCAAAGAGATAATCACGTATAGCCAGTCAATCCGCAAAAGTAAACATTTGCATATTTCAAATTCTTTTTATTTTTTTTTTGCTTAAACCTTACAGACTAAACATAGTTTGTTTATAGTTAGTCATATTTGCAAATATCGCATACAGGGACTTTTGAATAAATCAAAACAAATTGCATTATGTTCACACGTGATAACATGACGGGGGAAACGGTGAGAGTTATGCTGTTTATGTGTTATTTACAAATTATAATAAATAAATTAAAAATGAATCAGACACGCACACAGCCGCTCAATTTCTCAATCATTACTTCATTCAATCACACCAGGACTACAGAACTACGAATACATTTCTTGTAAAATCACGATTCAGTTGCAGATAAAGATACAATATCTGCGGAACTGGGACTATCGATCTACAGCGAGACGGTGAACTCCTTGCCGGTCTTAAAGTCGACGCACTTGAACTGCGGACAGCACTTGGGGAAGCTCCAGTTGGGGTCACTGGGCAGCTCCTCGCAGCCAGGTGCCTCCACGTAGGGACAGGTCTCGATGCTGATTTCGCGCGCCTCCAGGCTGCAAGTCATCGAGGCGCAGATGCCCTTCGGCTTGTATTCCTTGCCCGGCAGCAAGGCCTTTCTGGTGAACTTGTCGAAGCACTTGCCGGGGTGAGCTGTAAAGGTAGAGAAAAGGCACGATTTAATACACAGTAAAAAATCAGGATATTTGATATAATATTCAAGTTGCTATTTTATGCCATTTTCTCGCAAAATTTATGAAAAATATTTTCTGAGTGCTATGCTGCAAGCGGAAGTGCTGGCAGAGACTTCTTTGTTGCTTCCCCAATGCTGTCGTAGTTACAAAATTTTATTTATGCCTGCTTATGAGGAAGTGGCTATAAATCGTGATTGTGAACCGAGCGAAATTTAAATATGTACTCGCTTTTTGTAGTCTGGCCTGCGCGAGGAAAAGAAACTCTACTTGCTATCCTTGGCAAAAGATTATAAAAATTAAACCTACTTTTCTATATCAATTTAAGATATTTATAGGTAATGGAATATTTTGGTATTCGTTAAACAAGTAAACTCTCGAAAATCCCACACGGGACCTATTTTTGTAACTATTCATGACTTGCAAAAGCGAATAAAACAAAAGACTTAAGGCACGAACTTGACAGTCATTCGACAAGAAAATTGGCACAAAAATGGAGCCGAAGTACTCACCCCACTCTAGAGATATAAATACATCAGAAATAAGAGCTATGAGCAGGCTGAGATTGTGGTTTAAGCCGGGATAGCCATTCGCCATTTATTTTTAAACCCCAAGCACTGAGCCCAACTGACAGATGTGCGATGGAGCGTACTCGTGCTTTTATTTATAACGAACGGCCTGCGGCGAGGAATTGTTGAGTTGTCGGGCTCAAAAATAAATTGCCGAATAGAAAGGTAAGTTTGATTAATGACACTCGCCATTAATTTACCATTCGCATTCGAGGGGACCCGAAGACCCCAAAAGAACCAACATACATTCCGCCCAATTGTGCAATTAATTCGAGTCCCGCGTGAACTCATCGCCTATTTTTAAGCAGTTGGCGCTAATTTCTTATAGATTAGTGAGCCAGTTGCCGAGATGCCAGAAATTCCCAGCCATCCAAAGACGTTGGACGACCTTCACGCATGAATAATTCAGCAGAAGGAAAATATCTGGCGATCTGGCGAGCGCGGGATAATCGATAATTTTTCTAACTTAAATCCGCATAGCGATGCAAATTAGTCGAGCGCTTGAATAATAACCACATCAGCACATTTCTTATGCTAATTTTTGGCGAATGCGAAAAACCCAAAAAATCCAAATTCATATCCATCTCTATTTGTATCTCGATCTGTATCTGTATATTTGTATCTGATGCTGAATCTGCTACACAACCAAAAAGGGGGCCAATAACATGACAAATTTCGTCTGATTTCAGACATTTGTTGTTTTCGTTTCTGTTTCTGTTTCGTTTTTGCTTTTTGCGTTGTTTGAATTCAATTCATTGATTTCTTTTGTTTATATTATTATTTCGTATTGTTTTTGTTGACGTCAACGAAAGCTGCCAAAATATCACACAAAAAATCAATCTATAAATCAGATGACCAGAAACGTAATCATTTGACGTCAAAGTTCTGCATGTTCCAAAAATCTACTACTTTGGATTAAAGAAAATCTCACACAGTATGAGCTAATGTGAGGCCTCGAAAAAATCATTGTCTAAATCGTAAATCAATCACGAAATACGCTGACTCTATCAATGCTTTGTTTTGTTTTTTATTTTCATTGTTTTTCATGGTTGGCAAAGGTCGTCAATTAATTGGAAACTTAATTAGAAAATTCCAATAAAAAAATGTTTAAACTAATGGAATTTTTCATTCATTTAAGAATAAAATGGCAACAAAAATGGCATATTTAATATAGCCTCCTAACTTGAATTTGATGGTTTTAAAATACTAACCAGGATGAAAGATGGCAGGCTGACTATAAACCGCTGCATCCACAACGCAGGAGAAAATGGCAACAAGCGCGATGGCGGCACAAACTTTATCCACTTGCATTTTGTATAGTTTCTTTAGATAGTTTTTCCGTTAATAATTATTTGCAGATTTTTGCCAAAAACACTCTCGTATTTTTCTTCACTGGCGAATTCACGCGATTGTCTTGATTTTAGTAGCTTTTAGCTTATTTTCAGAGCTGTTTACGGGCTGAGTTTCAGTCACCAACTGAGGCTTCCACAGAGGAGCACCCATATTTAAGTCAAAACGAAATCGAGAAACCGCGAGAGGCATATCATATTCTCCCGCCGAGACTCTCATGATTTGGGAAGACGAAGCACATGGTTTCTTTTTGGTCTTGGTGGGGCTTGGGATATTCCGGAGTCGACCGATCGCCATAAATCTCACGGTCCCCTGCGGCCCTCGCCTTTGCCTGTGAAGCTATTCAGATATTTTGGATTCAGATATTTGGAGCGCTATCTTCATGAATTGGCGAAATGCTTTTACCCCTCCAGTTCGATGGACGGCCATTGTTCTGCATTATTTTGCAGTTTTGCGTAATTAATTACACGGCCTCCTCAAATGGCTCGAATAATGGGCCGGGTACCTGGGAGTGCCTAGCCATCGTCGGAATGTTAGGTCGCCCACCCCTGATCTTCATAAATGGTATTCCCTGAGAGCCCATTTAGGCCATTTAGCAGGCGCATCCAATGGCCTGCTAACCGAGCGAATCTCGGCTAAAAGATCGCCCCTAATTTGGTTGCAACAACGCCCAGGTAGGAGCGGTGCTTTGAAGATGGCTAAAGTGCTCGTCATACAATTGAGTTCCTAAAATGGCACGGCCGATGTCTCACTCTGAAAAGTATATGAGTTCAAAGAACAAATTAAATATTATGGGAAAAAATAGGTAATTGTGTGGGAAAGTATAAAGAACTCAAAGTTTATACATTTCCCAAGCAAAAATATTAGAATTAGTATCCAAAAGAGCTCTAAAGTCTATAGAATTTTTAAAAAATGATGAAAAACCCGTACTTAATAAGATCTTGCATTATTTAAAATCAACACTTGAAATAAACGTCTGAGAATTGTTTACCAGAAAACCATTTCATTTTGAAATAAGACTCTGTTCAATAAACATTTGCCAACAAATGTGCTTAATAAAAAACTCGTAAAAGTTTTGGTGTCAACAGCATTTTACCTGAATTCTGAATGTTTGATACCGATATCGCCATCTGGATTATTTAGTGCTACACTGAAACAAATCCTGAATTAGTAAACTGACTGTGAAGGTTGATGAACCTGGTGTGGCATGAAATTTTAAATTACTGCTCGCTGTGCTTATTATCCCATTTGGCTGACGCCAACTTGTCGCCGTCCGCCACCTTTTGGCCAACAGAAGGCGTAACGCTTAATGAAAACTAGTCGCTTCCCGACTTTTTAGTGTTTTTATTACAGGCCGGGTTCCAGTGGACACTGCTGGCAATAAGTTTACTTACAAGACCATATAACTTTGTGAGAATTTTTGTACAAACATTACACTATTTTCTTGGAAATTTTTCAACCACTTTAAAGTTAAGACAACATGGCGTATGTGTGTTATATTTAATAAATGTATATACTCCCTAATATACCTCTTAGATTCACCCTATCTCCCACCATATTCCCAATTGTATTCAAGCTGTTTTCAAGCCAACATTTTTGATTAAGGCACCGTTGTTTATGTTTGCTGCTGCTGTCGGGGATGGGATCTTGGCCTACTCGTTTAACCCGTTTCCATTTTCATTTCCACAAGCAAGCCTTGATACGCATGTCGCACTTGCCGAGGAGCAATCTGAATCGCAATCTCTGAGGCTCGACAGTGTGACGTCAATTTGTTGTTTTGTTTGCCGGGGTTTGAGATCCGAGATTCGAGATCGGCGGCGTACGCTGGAATTTATTAATTATGGCCGGACTGGCAGGCATTCCTCCTGGCTTTATTTTCTGACACAGGGCTCTCGAATCTCGCAATCTCGAACTATGCTAAAAATTCCACTCGTAGCGACCGATTTGCGGTTGATTTATTGTTTATTCATTTTCATTTTATTGTAACTTCTTTTTGGCCTACGTGCCAACTCCACAAAACCCTACAACCTGTAGTTCTGGCTACCATTCTTGATGGCTTGTGACTAAGGCTACAGACAAATTGATAAATATTTATGTGCCTTAGTTTTGTTGTTTTGACGCCGCGCATAATTAGTAATTAATATGGACAGTCAGATCCCCATACCACCCTCCTTCGCCCAGCAGCTCACACGGTAGCGAGCAGGTAATTTCTGCCTTCAGCCAATAAACGATCAATTTATGAAAAATTAATTGTTGATTAATTGCCGCTCGGGTGTGATGCATTATGGATGAGCAGGAGGCCCTCGGACCAGGCCATGCCCTCGCCTCGACATTCACTTTGCTGGCTCTGGCTCCGACTTGGCGGACCTTAAATGGTTGTAATGGAACATGGTTACCATTGACTATTAAAAATAGTTTTAGGCACAGCACTACAAATATTGGTACACGTGTTTTGGATTTAATAAATGACAAGCTATAATTTTTACAGATGCTACTAAACGGTAGACATATTTTAATTGAACTTATTCTTGGAAAAATACGTATATGGTATAACTCAAATATTGGTAAACAATTTCTAACAACGGCGTTTTCGTGAACGAGGCGGTGGTGTAACAGAGTCATCAGAGTCGCTATCCTCGAAATCATTTTCAGCATCCATAAGTCTCTTTTTGGAATATGCATTGTCTTTTTCGAATTCTTCTTCCATAAACTCGGTCATCTCATCCATATGAGTGGAGGTAAAGTAGTGTTTGTTATACTCCTTGACGAATCCTAGACGAATCGACGCACTTAATACGTTCCTCAGCCTCTGCGTGGACTCTTGAAAGACCTTGCCGCTCTTCGGTTTAAAGTTGAACGCCTTTACAAGGGTCTCAAATGTGACCGGCTCGTTGATCGACTGCATCTTCATTATCAGTTGCTTACCGTTTATTTTGGACTCCATTTTTCAGTCTTGAAAAGCAAAAATATATTTATTGAATTAAATATATTAACTTTTAACTATTATTTTAACTTACCAAAATAATAGACAACAAAATATATATTAACTTGAATTTTATGTACTTCTCGTTCGAAGTATCTGAAGCAATTGAAATGTCCCCCTACGATTCGTATACAGCTGTAAAAATTAAAACTCAAAGGCTACTAAGTTTAAAATTGGGACAGTAATTTTACAACTTACATTTTTTTATTCAAATAAAGGCAAATTTCCAATTTATCCATTTTCCATTAATTTAATCACATGCCAGCTCATTTCCAGCCTCTTTTGCATAGTTCTGAGAGGGCATTATAATAAATGAATTTATGGTACGAGTATATTAGATCGTTATATTCATATACCATAAAAACTGTCAGATTCTCGGAATTTACTGTGGCGACTTGGAGACGCGACGAACGTCCAAAATTCCTGCATAATAAGCAAAGATTTGGCGTCAAGTTGGACTCCGATCGGGAAATAGAATCGATTCGGACTTTGGGGGACCGGGTTTTGGGACCGGTCGACAGTAGCGACGATGGTGTGTAATAAAATCTTCACGCCAAGCAACCGATCAAAAAAAATAAATGAAAATAAAATAAATAGTAAACATCATAGCGTTCCCCATCACCCATCGGTGATTAGCACATGGAGCTCGAATAACTTGATGGATAGTTGGCAATTTCTTTGGCGCCAGACAGTGGCAGCGGATTTGGCTTCTGCTCGCAGGCGGATTTTGAAGGCGGATGATCTGGGGTTTTTACTCCCAAACGGTAAACAAAAGGCAGCATGTTAAATATGCAAATTTGCCACAAATTAATTTATCGAGTCTGCAGCTTAGACGGGATTAAAGAAATTTCACTCCCTTTTCCCTCGCTCGCCCACGATTCTGGGGAATACCTGATTGAGCCATTAGCTGATTGATTTGGGATAACTTTTGGCCAAATAGGGGCTGGCCAACGCCTCCCAAAGTTCCATCAAATGAAAGTGTACAGTAGTTTAAATACTTTTCCAGACATTGTGTTATTTATTTTACTCATTTAATAGAATTTTTATGAAACAGTATTTTAAATTTTCGAACTTGTTTCTATTTTTCATAACCAGAATGAAATTCAATTTTCAGCTCAGCCATTAACTTTGATTTGAAAATTAATTTAAATCGTTTTTTATGGTTTTAAATCAGGCGTATCTCTGTTGATGCTTAAACTTTTTTTAATTTTGTAGTTTTCATGGTACTTCTTCTAAAAACAAATGCCATAAAAGCCATAAGGAAGCATATCCGACCGATTTAATTATAGGTTAACCAAGTTAATTGGATCTACCAAACTTGTGCATAGAATGCGACTTTATTCTAATTAATTTTAAGACTATTTCACATCACTAAAGGGTCACTTGTGACGAATTAAAAACGCTTACACGTGCTGAGAAGTCACAGTCTGTAAAGGAAAGCTTGTCGGATTACATTTCAAATATATTGGGTTGAACAAATGTAATCATATATGGCTACGGCTTATTTTGGGGAATTTCCGCATGCCACTCATGTGACTAACAAGCCACCCTGATCGATCCAAAAAAAATAACTGATATAACGCCATATGTGTTAAACCCAAAAATAAAATTGAAAATTCAATATCTATGCCATGTCTGCGACTGGCACGCGATTACCTACTTAATATTCGATTTTCAAGTCTGATTATAATCTATTAAACATAATATAGTGGGAAAAAGTACTCCCTAGACTGAACCTTTTAGATTTTTACAATCTTAAATGTACATTTATAAGTTTATAGCCCATAATGTTTTTTTCCCAATGGAGCAGGGCGCATTTCGGCAATCGCTTGATTTAATCCGCTAATTCGTTTTGGCCACAGAAGCTGAAACGGTCAATTTAGGCGCACGCCTCCGCATTCCGGATTTATGATCCGGCGTAGAACTGAAACGTAAACGCTTCGATGGCAAAAATCACTTAGCTGGGAAACCAAACAAAGTGAAATAAACTGTTAAATGGTTATATTACATTTTTGCGGCAGCGACCAACAATAGGATCGAGAGATTGAATTGATTTGCCAAATTCTTTGTCAGACGTCTCCATCTCTCCCCCTTTGTTTTGCCTATTTGCGGGTTAAACCCACTGGATCAGGTCGATCTGCCGGCATTAAACTGGTCCAGAGTCCGGCGACCGTCTGACGCCGTCGACTTTCACGATCCGGTTCGGAGCGGTGCCAAGTGACGTGAATAATACATAGAAAAATCGTAGTAAGATCTGCCGATTTTTTTGGTTAGCCCAAAACAACTTTTAATTATGCGAATTTGCCAGTGAAACAAACAAAACAAAAGCAAACGAAAACAAAAATAAACAAAAAACAAAATACGAAATACCAGCTAAGGTCGAAGCAGAAGAACCTGCACCACCACCATCGATTTCCAGATGGACTACGGGGCCAGGGCTATACCATGACTAGGAATTCCCAGATTGTTGTTTTTTAATTTGTGTTGTTTTCGAAGCCGAATAAAATATTCATTTTAAGTTGGGCTTTTTGGCGCAGTTTTTTGGTCCACTTTTAAAACGATTTGTTTTGATGTTGCTTGACCGTTATCAAAGCTATCTATCAAATAAAAACGCTAATAGGTTACGTTACTGTTATTAATTATTTATTAAAAGAGCATAATGTTCAACAAAATTAAACATCAATGTAATTTATATACAAACTTATAGATAAAATATGACAGTAAAAATATAAAAAAAGGCTTGTTTAAAATAAGCCTATTGTAAATATTTTTCAAAAAATAATCATAACACCAAAAATATTCCTCCATTTTCTATTTTTTGAAAAAGCTCCGCAATGACAAGTGTTGGAAAGCACTCTATTTGATATGACCGATACGCACTGTACCGTAGCAGCTGGGAAACAGCTGATAGCCGTACGCTTTATAGCACTAGAAAGCTTGTCCAGGTGAAAACAGCGTTGCGTGATTTTTCCGTAATATTTCGTCAAATTTCCCGGCTGCAAATGCATTTAAAAACGTAAGGCTACGGACTGACTTGCAGAGGGTTGAAACCTATTGCCTAGCGAGAAATAGGTTAAGAGGCGAGTGGAATTTAATTCGCAATTCGGACATCAACAGGTGCGGTCAGTAACCATGGCCGAGGTTAAGGACTGGAGGCCGTTTGTTTACGGCGGAGTGGCATCAATCACGGCGGAATTCGGTAAGGGGATAGGGGCCCACTGCGACAGCGTCGCCAGATAGCTCTAATCGGCGATCGAATCTTTGTAAACATATTGTTTATTATAGGCACTTTTCCCATCGACACAACGAAGACGCGCCTCCAAATTCAAGGTCAGAAAATTGATCAAACATTCTCGCAGCTGAGGTATCGCGGAATGACGGACGCCTTTGTGAAAATATCTCGTGAAGAGGGATTACGCGCCCTGTATTCCGGGTAAGAATTTGGTATATCTTCAGTCATTCGCATTCACGTTGCCAAAGCATGGGCTCATCATGAAATTCTTATCTTACTCAGTCTGGGAAACGTGCCAGTCACATGTTCATTCGCTGGGGAGCATAATTAAAAAAACAATACAGTCAGGCTTCCATAAATAAAATAAAGAAATTACCAAAATATACTCCAAGGTTTATGAGGACCATTAGCTTTATTTTGACATCAAAATATATAGTATTTTAATTCTCAAATCTAAGAGTTTATTGCCGTTTCGACTTATGGAACTTTGACTGTACAAACAGACATCCATTGATAATGCTTACTCATGGCAAGCCAAAAATAAAACCCTGGATGGCGGCGCTTTTAATCAGACGTTTGGTCAGCAAACTTTGCCCGCCCGCTAACCCATTAGACTTTGTCTCTGATAATACTGATAATAAGGCATCCATATACCTCCCACAGCATTTGGCCAGCTGTTCTGCGTCAGGCCACCTACGGCACGATTAAGTTTGGAACCTACTACACCCTTAAGAAACTGGCCAACGAGCGGGGTCTTCTCATCAACGAGGATGGCAGCGAGCGCGTTTGGAGCAATATTATGTGCGCTGCGGCAGCTGGAGCCATCTCCTCTGCGATTGCCAATCCCACAGACGTACTGAAAGTGCGGATGCAAGTGCACGGGAAAGGCCAGCATAAGAGTCTATTAGGCTGTTTTGGCGAGATTTACAGGTACGAGGGTATCAGAGGGTTGTGGCGTGGCGTCGGTCCCACCGCCCAGCGAGCAGTGGTCATTGCCTCCGTGGAGCTTCCTGTCTACGATTTTTGCAAGCTGCAGCTGATGAACGCGTTCGGCGATCACGTGGCGAATCATTTCATGTAAGTTCCATGCCGGCCTACAATCAAGATACGAGTAATTTCATGGTTTTTTTTGTTTAAATTGTAGCTCAAGCTTTATTGCTAGCCTGGGTAGCGCAATTGCCTCGACCCCCATCGACGTTATTCGGGTGAGTAGAATTAGAGGAAATCTCTACTATTCCGGACTAATCAAAGTTTACGTCACTGCAGACTCGTCTGATGAACCAACGGCACGTGAGCATGGACATGAACGGAGTGGTCACGGCGGCAGCTACTCCTAAGCTGTATAATGGCAGCCTCGACTGCGCCGTTCAGACTATAAGGAACGAGGGACTCTTTGCCCTTTACAAAGGATTCATACCCACGTGGGTGAGGATGGGACCCTGGAACATAATATTCTTCATTACCTATGAACAACTCAAGAAGTACTAGCAGCGGCGAGTGGAACGCCGAGGAAATCCAAGTACAAGATGTATTCTAGCATTCAAACCAAATAGATCTGCGCTGCGGCCATATCTGGCGTAACCATTGGATCCTATATGACGCAGAGGCCTCACTGCAGTCTGCCTCATAATGCGGCTATTCAATAGCCCGAAACCTGGTCCAGTGCCATTATGCCCTAGGCATCAGGGACAACCATTGATCACACTTCAGTTGATGAAGTATTCAAGTATTTGCTTTATCGGCGAATTTTCATCCCTTAGTATACTATTTTTCTTGCGAATTCTTTTCGCCCCTTTGGGGGGCCACCATCTAAGTATATTGCATTTTTCCTAAGCTTTTAATTTAATTACTTAATGAATTAGTTCACGATTAAATATTTATGTGAGTTTGTATCATACGAGGATTTGGTCAGTTCCAAGCATGTGCAACATTGCTGTAAATATATGCATTTAGAAATGTGTGCACTGATTTTACCAAATACAGAATGTACAAATATGCAAAATTTATTAATAAAATGTTTGTTGGAAATCTCAAAAACGTGTTTTTATATTCTAAACTTTACAATCTAGAGATGGTAAAATTGAATTATGAAAATAGTCGTATATGGAGGATTGTTAACCGGAATAAGATGGGGAGAGTGACTAAAACATTTACATCATAATAAATTATTATATTATTATATGGATTCTCGGAAATGTAGAGCTAATTTTGTAGTCCAGGTAAGAAATTTAAACATTAGTGCTAGATGAAGTCTTAGAATTTTATAGAAATACAATTTTTGAGGTTAGGCTTTTAGAGTTGCCACCTGTAGTCCTAAAATGAAGGACCTAAATGATTGGCAGAAATAATCGAAAGTTCACAGCTCCTATCACCACTGCATATCGTTTTCTGTCAGTCTATACTTATAGTTATTTGTCAGAAACCTTTTCATTAAAACGTAGACCGTAGAAAAAGTAGTTGTTAAAATGAATAACTCAACTCGTCAGAAATTTATAGATGGAAAATTTTTAAAACAATATAATTCGGCACCTGATTTTGGAAGTAAGGCTGAAATGTCTTCCAGCGAGTCGAATGATAGTTCGCCGCCCCCGGAGCTGAAGAACCCCTTTACTGTGACTTCCGAGGAACTGATGGAGCGAAAATCTCTTGTGTTGTGGCGTCGTCCCATAGCGACATTGAAATACGGAGCATTGGAGGCCGCTCAGTGGCTCCTTTCCTTTGCTATGAAGTTGGTCAATCGATGGCTGCTGGGCAGTCTACTGTTCTTTAGCATCCTGTATTTTCTGCCAGGACCACACGAAAGTGTCGTTCGATACTGTGAGAAGAATATGGCCTTTACCATCTACTGGCTGGGCCTGGGAGTACTCTCATCCGTCGGCTTCGGCTCTGGTCTGCACACATTCCTCCTCTATCTGGGACCCCACATAGCCTCCGTAACCATGGCCGCCTACGAGTGTCAGACCTTGGATTTTCCGATGCCACCTTACCCGGAAAAGAAGATCTGCCCGTCAGGGACCTATACTCGTATGCTGCCAAGTGTTTGGAGCATACTGAGCAAGGTCAGGCCCGAGTCCTTTTTGTGGGGCTTGGGAACGGCTCTGGGCGAGTTGCCGCCATATTTTATGGCCCGCAGCGCCCGACTATCCGGCCAGGAGTTGGAAGATGAGGAAGAGGTTGGAGTGACAGAAAGGCCAACTTTTGTGGACAACGCAAAAGTGTTCATGGAGCGAGTTGTGCGGCGCATTGGCTTTATGGGGATTCTACTGTGTGCCAGTGTCCCAAATCCCTTGTTCGACCTGGCCGGCATCACCTGCGGTCACTTTCTGGTGCCATTCTGGAAGTTTTTCGGAGCCACCATTATTGGCAAGGCTTTCGTAAAGGCTACATTCCAGCAGCTGTTTGTGATTGTGGCTTTCAGCGAGGATCTGGTCAACAAGCTGGTGGCCGGCCTAGGAGGGTTGCCCTGGATCGGTAAACCAATACAGGGAATTATCAAGGATGTCCTCAAAAGTACCAAAAAGCAAATGCACAGCCCCAGCAAATCCGATGTCGTATTGAGCTTTAGTATCGTTGTACGAGCCTTCGAACTGTGTGCCTTCCTCATGGTGGCCGCTTTTGTGGTGTCCTTGATAAACTCCCTGGCCCAAATAAACTTGAAGCGTCGTCAGGATAAGGAGCGAGAGATGAAGTACATGGAGCTGCTTCTGTCTGCAGACGATAAGGAAAAGGAGTTCTCCGTGTAAAAGAAGAGCAAACATTACGGAATCAATATATTTTTTAGTTCCGCAATGGATTATTTGAATTCGGATTTCCTAATTAATTTTAATGAGCAGCTTTCCATGTTCGATACTTCTTCAGATTCCTTATGGATCTTTTCTATTAGATCTTTTTTATGAATCTTGAATATTGTTAAAAAATTAAAAGCATACCACCATCTTGGCTTCCCACTGCCCTAATTAAAAATGTAATCGTAACGTTTTATATTCTTTATTTTATTATAATTAGTTTCATTGGATTTGGGTTCTGTTTTTTTTGCATTATTGTTGTTCGTGTTCCGTTTTTATGTCGATCTGTGTGGATTTTTGTGAGTTCATTGCCATCGTAATTATTATCATTGTACAAGTACATTTATATTCAACAGCAATTTAACACAAAGCTAAGCATTACTTTACGCGATCCCCTAGTTTAAGGTTTTAGGTTTATTCCTTCGGTTTTGGATTAGTATGTCTCAGTGTTATTTTGTTTGGGTTTTGTTGGGATGTGTGTGTGTGGCACATCATATTTAAAATTTCCATTATTTTGAGTTTAATTTTCAAACAAGGTTTGCTAAATGAAATAAGGATATAAATCCAGGGATACTCCCTAGAGGAGTACCATTCCAAGGTCGTTGCTATGGCCACAATTTCTTCTAACATTTTTTGCACTACGATTTTACTGTTTCATGGCTCCTTTTTTTGGGGGTTTCGACCTAGTCGATCTAAAAATACCTTTCAAACCCATAGTTTTCAATCGAGGGCTTTGTGTTTTCTAAACCCAAAATATAGGGGCTTCCATTCACATTTGAAATCTGATTATTATTTTGTTTCTGGAGATGCTGCAGTTAACTCAAGAGAGGATGGTAAGCACGGGAGGCTTTATCAGAATATTTTGTTGCTATTATTAAGTACATACACACATGTACCATACAAATATATATATATATATATAATATATATAATAATTAGAGTTAGACTATTTGCGGCAAAGTCTTTTTGAGAATTAGAGACTGTAGAAGGTAAAAAAATTAACCTTAACACATTGTAACACTTACACTCGGAAACGAAAAGCTCTCCCCACCCACTATTCCATATCCATATCCATATTCATATCCTTAAATCATCCTCTGGTACAAAACAACTGGGAAAGCAGGATCGATTTTAGTTCCCATGCCGATTGAATTGTATTTAGATATATATATATATTTATATGTATATTTTAACTACAATCATATACGACACCGTACTGAACGATAACGATATGATCTAACCGATTTTCACCAGTGGGGGAGTAGGCATGCGATTATGTGTACAATTACGATTAAATATTACAATACAATCTTGCCTAAACTTTTTACTTGACGCATAATTTTCAGTATTCAATATTCCTGTATTGCATAAATTAGCTTTGTGGTTATTCGGTTCATTTTTGTTTTCTTTGTTTAGTATCATTTATTATCGTCGTGGTTTTTTTGGTTTAAGTAATTAAGTTTAATTTGTTGCCGTGTGTGAGAGTGGTTGTTGGCCAAAATCACACAAAACATACGTATATCTAATCAATGTGTTATTGTGGCTGGTCTTCGCCATTCACTTCTAAAATTTGACGCCTAATACAATTTACTTATAATTTTCGGTTAAAAATTCAATTTATCATACCATTTTCCTATAATTTACGATATAGTATAAGACGCTTGTTGTTTTACAAATCAAAGGAGGTCGAAAGAAGGTCAAATAGAGGGGATTACTTTCAGCAGAAATTATGGCTAGTAGAGTTTTGAAAATTTAGTTAACGGGCGGGGCATATGTAGGGGAGATTTTATTACCACTAAGTACAAAACTAATTTAATTTGACTTAATCGCATTGATCGGGCTGAACACATGCTCAGTGCTCTTTATTTTTGCACTTAATTTTCATATTCATATTTTATATAGTATTTAGTTTATAATTTCTGGCTTAGCAAACAAACAGTTTTGAGTTTTAGTTTATTTTTAGTTATCTGGGAAAAAGAAATTAGAGAACTAACCGGGTCTATGGAAGTATTTTGAAAGACAATTTCATATTTTTGGTTTTAGCAGCTTCTTACTATAAGTATTATTATTTAGATTCGCATCTGTATTTTTGTAGTATGTACGATATATTTAAAAAAATATTAACGGCGGGAAGTACTACAATCGTTTCGAAGCATTTTTTAGTTTTTGTTTTCTCAAGTATATAATGTTTCCTTACAAACATCGTCGTCCATATATGTATATATGATCGTTATCAATCGATTTTGTAGCAAAATGTTTCAACTTTTTTCTTTTTCATTTTTAATGTATTTTTAATTTGTTAATTTTGTGTAGAATTTTTTGGTTGATTGTAGAAATTTGTATTCGGACACATATTTTCTGTAGGTTAAAATGTACGCCACGTCCCATTATCAATTTAGTCGTATCAAAAGCAAAAAGTATCTCACTGTATTGTCCTTAATGTCTCAGAATATTTCCATTTTCGGTTTTCTTTGATGAGGAATGAGTCTCCTGGCTAGTCCCTGGATGGATGATCCATCCGATTCATCAGGCAAATGCAGACTTCCAACTGGACAATGGGAAGTGGGAGGTGGAATTGTATAGAGGTGACAGTAACTTTAGAATGACATTTTGGTAATATTTTTGTTGGTTTTTTTGGTTTTTTGTTCTATGTTAGTATATTGTCGACTACTTATGTACATCCCTTGTTTTGGTTGATCTTCTTGTGTCCATTTCGTGATTCAGATTAGAATTCAGCTTAATTTTCATTATTTTGTTGGTAAAATTTGTTAAGATTCGGAAGTTTTATATTAATGACATTATTCGGTTAATCATCGTTTGTTGAGCTTTAATACTTTTTACGGTTTCGGTTCACAATTCATTTAAATGCTTACGATTGTTTCTTTCAAATGTTAGTTGTTAGTTGACTATCTTTGAATCGTTATACAATAATTTTGGGGATATTGATCGCAACCCGCAATGCAAACTAAGTATTATTTCATCGAGGAGCATTAATTGAACTCTAATTGCTTTCTAAATTACCCTAAATAAATGCCAAAAATTAAGAAATTAGGGGAGGTGACTCTTGCCTACTGTTTTGGGTTTTAAAAGGGGAAGGTTTGTTGTTAGCCAGCTTGCTGTATTAATCAGTTAAATTATATATTTATAAACTATTTACAAGTGCATTGGTTATCCGACAGAACTGGCACATTCTGCCCAATGCCTTCGAGATTCTGCTTGGGTACGAGGAGAAATCTCTATATAATACACCCTGCGCGGTGATGTCCACACTAATTGTTGTTAAATATAGTCATACAGTCCTGAAATTAAATATTATTATGAATATTTATATTTGATTATTTTTAGCACAGTCTTACTTCATTTAATGCTCTGCAAATATCCATAAATTTACTTTATAAAGTACAGATTATTGTGCTCAAGTCAAGTCGGTTCTTTCACAGTGATCCCCCATAGCCTAGACGAACCATTCGTCCTTCTGCGCAGCGCCGGCGGCGTTGGCATTGTTGGGGTGTCCTCCGGCTCCGGCGAGATTCGTCTGACTGAGCCCGGCGGAGTTTTGCGAAAGATCTTGACCTAATTGACGGAATTTGCCAAGCACCAAATGGGACGGACTTTGGTGGCCATCTTCAAGAAGTTGTGTGGAGTGCGGTGGTACCCGGATGGTCCCGCAGGGTGATGCCAGTTTCCCGACGTCGGCAGTTGTGTGTGCTCTCGCGTCAGTGTCCCGCCGACACTGATGCCATGGTAGTGCAGATGTTTCGACGAACCATTCGTATCGGCATTGTGGTGTACTATAATTGATTAAAATCGGTTTAGACTTTACTTTCTTTGGAGGTTAGATCAAGCTACTTACACTGGAGTGAGGTGTTCTGGTTGGTGGCATTCTCGTCCTGACGACGGCACACGCAAATGGCCACCGCCACGATGAGAGCACTCAGGACAAGCAGGACACCAACGACAATCAGGACGAACCAGGTCATGTCCATGCCAAAGACAGTGCTACTTGCATCACCTAAAAGAAAAATATTCGTAAGAATTAAGGTATAAATTCTAGAAATGTAACACCTACTCTGGCATAGATTTGGGACCAGTTCGTCAGAGTTATCACCACAATGGTTGACGCCGTCGCACAGCAGGTCCGGATGGATACAGAACTCGCGGGTGGCACAGGAAAAGTCCTTGCAGGTGTGCTCTGTAAGTGAAATTAGCTTGTAATGGGGATCTGGTGACAGACATTCGGGGACTCTGCACTTACTGGGATCCTTCACCGACGTAATCACCAACTTGAAACCGTTCGCATCCGTTCCCCAGCCGTCGGTCACGTACTTCAGAGTCACGAAGTTCGTGCGCGTCAGGAGCGCGTTGACGGTGTTCTTTGTGTTCCGACAGGAGATGTCAATCTGGAAGTTAAATAACCACAAATTAGTATTTCCCCATCAATTACGCTAACGAGGATTCAATTTTTTAAATCGGATTACAGCACGAAATAAGTAATTAATTTCCCTTTATTGACTGCCCAGCTAAATTATAGCCCCAATTCCTTAAAAATAATATAAAAATTGTGCTTAATGAGGCGTAATTATAGCGCCTGCCACTGAGCCGAAAACAATACTGCCACACACCGTGCCACACACAAGTTGCAAATTAAATCTAGGAAATTGAGGCCCCTTCCTGGGCGTGGCGGAGACCGAGACGTGGCATTTCACTTTGATGGATGAGAGTGGAAAGTACAAAAGAAGCTTTACGTGGCAAAGCCAAAGGGCTGAGTGGCAATTTTTCGCATTTCGCATTTCAGCTGGGACCCATCAATGAATTGGCAACCAACCCGCTTAAACTGAAGAGCTCTGATTCTGTGGTTAATTTCACATCAACATATGTATGTACCATGTACATACTGTTTAAACAGACTCATCTCAGGTAACACGGCGGGACCGTCAGGTAAGAGGCGATTCACTGGGTCATCCCTGATCCCCAATCCCATGGGACAGTCTGGGCGCACC